ACAATCTGTGTGACTGAGCACTGAGACCTATAACAGTCTGTGTGACTGAGCACTGAGACCTATGACAATCTGTGTGACTGAGCACTGACCTATAACAATGTGTGTGACTGAGCACTGAGTCCTATAACAATCTGTGTGACTGAACACTCAGACCTATGACAATCTGTGTGACTGAACACTCAGACCTATGACAATCTGTGTGACTGTGCACTGAGCCCTATAACAATCTGTGTAGTTGTGTGTAAAGTAATACTTTGTGTTGACCTACCTACAGCAGCAGCTCCTAAATGTGCCTTTATCACATTGTAAAGTGACAAGTGGCAGATCTGAAAATACACTTGGGTGAAAATTATACTTAGCTGACTGGCATAGTGCCAACAGTATGCAGGTTGTCCTGGCCACCAACAGATGTTGCTGGCATACATTGTTTTGGGTCTCATTATCATTTCACTGTACACAGTAAGCAGATTGCCAGATAGTTCACATCCCTGTCTAACATCTTCTTCACTGTGTTGAGAATTAATTTCTCATGTGGCCGCCAGTTGTTATGATAGCTTTTATTGCCAGAGTGTGTTTCAGTTTTCTCATGTTGTTGCCATCAATGTTTACAATTGTCAACGTTCCAATTAATTCTTTATGTTATGTTTTCAGAGTCAACATCATCAGGCATTCCCATGCATGCTCCGTCCTCCCTTGCAGCAGCCACCCCAAGGCACCTTTTCATACAGTTCAGCTTATCCAATAGTTTAATGTAGTTAATCAAGTACAGATGCAGATCCTCTTGAAATGCTGCGATGGAGGTGATGACGGTGACACAGGCTTTCATGTGGCTGGGATCACAGGACTATTCCCATGTGTGTGTGCTGAGTGATTCTTTGAGCATGATCCGGCAGATCGTGGCAGGCTGGTTACACAGACAGTGGCTTGAGTCGTTGCAAAATTCTCCCGTGTGTGCAGTTACTTTCATATACGTCCCAGGGCATGCAGGCGTTGTTGGTAATGAGAGAGCTGATAGACTGGCAGGTACTGCATTAATTGAAGATGGCCGGCCCATGGATCATGCAGATATTGTCATTGCCCTTAGAGAGATAGGACATTCTGAGGATTTTGGAAGCAACATGTCCACATCACTTCTAAGAATACATGAATCGTGAGTAAAGATCAGCACAGCCAAGCATGAGAAGCACACTGGACGCACACAAAGTATTGTTAACCAACATAGGACTGGTACTATTAATCGCACAACGCTGATAAATATGTTGAGAGGGGAATCTGAGCGCCTATGGATGTGTCCGGAGTGCTGTGAATATAATGTAACTCATAACTCATGCTGCAATAATTCTTGCTGTTCATGTTCTTAAAATGTCTATAGTGATGTTTATGCTTTTATCTACAACAAATCTAGATTGCTCATCCTCAACTTCTGGTTGTAATTTATATCTTTTTCTTCACATAAAAATTTTATTGTTTTTTAAAACATGCATACATGTTAGGTACAAAACACAAACAGAACTATTTATCTGAACAGCAAGGATGAGTAAATCTTCTCCCAGGATACCCATAGCCGAAGCTAGAAATATACTCCGAAGGAAGTAGACATCTATGTATTTATTATTTCTTCTTCTTTTTGCCCTTCTTCCCTTTCTTGCCTTTCTTTCCTTCCTTCTTGCCTGTTGTTGATTTTCCTTTGCCTTTCTTTCCACTTGCCTCTTCTTCATCTGCCTGGGCTGCCTTCGCTCGCTGTTTACCCATAGGGGTTTTAGCATACCAGCTCTATATAGGGGAGAGATGGATAAATGTAATTAGTATATCAGCTTTTGTGTAAGGGGAGACAGATGGGGAGATGGATGAATGGAGATGGATGAATGTAATTAGTATACCAGTTCTGTGTAGGGAAGATAGGTGGGGAAATGGATAAATGTAATTAGCATACCAGTTGTGTGTAGGGGAGATAGATGGGGAGATGGATGAATAGAGACAGATTAATATAACTAGTATACCGGTTCTGTGTAGGGGAGATAGATGCGGAGATGTATGAATGTACTTAGTATACCAGCTATGTACATGGATACTCACAGAGTAGAGAGAGAGAGAGAGAGAGAGAGAGAGAGAGAGAGAGAGAGAGAGAGAGAGAGAGAGAGAGAGAGACTCCAGGACTTACAAGACTCCAAGATATACCAGACTCCAGGACATACACGAATCCAGGACATGCAAGACTCCAGGACATATCAAACTCCAGGACATAACAGACTTGAGGACATACAAGACTCCAGGACATAACAGACTTGAGGACATGCAAGACTCCAGGATTTACAAGACTCCAGGACATAACAGACTTGAGGACATACAAGACTCCAGGACATAACAGACTACATGACATACAAGACTCCGGGACATAACAGACTTGAGGACACACAAGACTCCAGGACATAACAGACTTGAGGACATACAAGAAAACAGGACATAACAGACTCCAGGACATACAAGACTCAGGACATACAAGACTCCAAGATATACAAGACTCTAGGACATAACAGGCTCCAGGACATGCAAGACTCCAGGACTTACAAGACTCCAGGACATAACAGACTTTAGGACATACAAGACTCCAGGACATAACAGACTTGAGGACATGCGAGACTCCACGACTTACAAGACTCCAGGACATAACAGACTCCAGGACATACAAGACTCCAAGACATAACAGACTTGAGGATATACAAGACTCCAGGACATAACAGACTTGAGGACATGCAAGACTCCAGGACTTACAAGACTCCAGGACATAACAGACTCCAGAACATACAAGACTCCAAGACATAACAGACTTGAGGACATACAAGACTCCAGGACATAACAGACTTGAGGACATACAAGACTCCAGGACTTACAGGACTCCAGGACATAACAGACTCCATGACATGCAAGACTCCAGGACATAACAGACTCCAGGACATAACAGACTCAAGGACATACAAGACTCCAGGACATAACAGACTTGAGGACATGAAGGACTCCAGGACTTACAAGACTCCAGGACATAACAGACTCCAGGACATACATGACTCCAAGACATAACAAACTTAAGGACATACAAGACTCCAGGACTTACAAGACTCCAGGACATAACAGAATTGTGGACAAACAGGACTCCAGGACATAACAGAATCTAGGACATACAAGACTCCAGGACTTACAAGACTCCATGACATAAGAAACTTGAGGACATACAAGACTCCAGGACATAACAGACTTGAGGAGATGCAAGACTCCAGGACATAACAGACTTAAGGACATGCAAGACTCCAGGACTTACAAAACTCCAGGACATAACAGACTCCAGGACATAACAGACTTAAGTACATACAAGACTCCAGGACATAACAGACTTGAGGACATACACGACTCCAGGACTTACAAGACTCCAGGACATAACAGACTCCAGGACATACAAGACTCCAGGACTTACAAGACTCCAGGACATAACAAACTTGAGGACATACAAAACTCCATTACATAACAGACTTGAGGAGATGCAAGACTTCAGGACATACTAGGCTCCAGGACTTACAAGAGACTCCAGGACATACAAGACTCCAGGACATAACAGACTTGAGGACATAAATGACTCCAGGACATAACAGACTTGAGGACATACAAGACTCCAGGACTTACAAGACTCAAGGACATAACAGACTTGAGGAAATACAAAACTCCAGGACATACAAGACTCCAGGAAATAACAGACTTGAGGACATACAAGACTCCTAGACATACTAGACTCCAGGACATAACAGACTTGAGGACATACAAGACTCCAGGACATAACAGACTTGAGGACATACAAGACTCCAGGACATACTAGACTCCAGGACATAACAGACTTGAGGACATACAAGACTCCAGGATATAACAGACTTGAGGACATACAAGTCTCCAGGACATAACAGACTTAAGGACATACAAGACTACAGGACATACAAGACTCCAGGAAATAACAAACTTAAGGACATACAAGACTCCAGGACATAACAGACTTAAGGACATACAAGACTACAGGACATACAAGACTCCAGGACATAACAGACTTGAGGACATACAAGACTCAAGGACTTACAAGACTCCAGAACATAACAGACTCTAAGATTGAAACTGACTGAATAAAACACTTTTTCAATGAGAATTATCGGACGTGGAATTCACAAGTTGAGCTGAAGCCACACGGCTCAAACAGAAATGTGTTCACTAATCCAACAGACATCAGATGTGGCTGGACAGACACAAATCCCTAAACTTATCCAACAATAACTCTAGACCAATGAAGAACAGAGACCTAAATACTGTCTTATGAGCTGTCAGAAACATGGTACTGCAAGAACTGCTACTGACACAGACCTCAAAGAACTAGCATTGACATAGACCTCAAACAACTATCATTGACACAGACCTAAAAAAAAACTATCACTGACACAGACCTAAAAAAAAAACTACCAGTGACACAGACCTTAAAGAATTATAATTGACACAGACCTCAAAGAACTATTATTGACACAGACCTCAAAGAACTGCTACTGACACAGACCTCAAAGAACTGCTACTGACACAGACCTCAAAGAACTGCTACTGACACAGACCTCAAAGAACTGCTACTGACACAGTGCTTAAAGAACTATCATTGACACAGATCTCAAAGAACTACGATTGACACAGACCTCAAAGAACTGCCATTGACAAAGACCTCAGAGAACTGTTATTGACACAGATCTAAAACTACCGTTGATGTAGACACAAAGAATTCTCACTGACATAGACTTAAAACATCAGCCACATATACACACAGAATTTTTAATTTGTTGACTGAATTACAAGAAAGAACTGTCATGAAAAGCTGCAGTTCGTTCAACCTCCAGTGAATATGAAACAAACACAAAAGAATTATGCTCATTCTTCAAGAGACAGTGTGCCAAGGACAAACATGCAAACTATGATGTCATTGTTACCTTGAATGACTCTTCCTCCTCCTTGTAGACAGGATCCAGCCGAGCTAGTGGAGCTAGAAATTCTACTCCTAGAAGTGGCTTCTTTGACAGCAGCTGGACCCGGCGGTCAGTGAGAACCTGAAATAGTAGGCATGTTCAATCTAATGGTCAGTATTAGGTGTCCCGGTGTGGGTTTCAATGCAGGACATCTAATGGTCAGTATAAGGTGTCAAGGAGTGGGTTTCAATGCAGGACATCTAATGGTCAGTATAAGGTGTCAAGGAGTGGGTTTCAATGCAGGACATCTAATGGTCAGTATAAGGTGTCAAGGAGTGGGTTTCAATGCAGGACATCTAATGGTCAGTATAAGGTGTCAAGGAGTGGGTTTCAATGCAGGACATCTAATGGTCAGTATAAGGTGTCAAGGAGTGGGTTTCAATGCAGGACATCTAATGGTCAGTATAAGGTGTCAAGGAGTGGGTTTCAATGCAGGACATCTAATGGTCAGTATAAGGTGTCAAGGAGTGGGTTTCAATGCAGGACATCTAATGGTCAGTATAAGGTGTCAAGGAGTGGGTTTCAATGCAGGACATCTAATGGTCAGTATAAGGTGTCAAGGAGTGGGTTTCAATGCAGGACATCTAATGGTCAGTATAAGGTGTCAAGGAGTGGGTTTCAATGCAGGACATCTAATGGTCAGAATTAGGTGTCAAGGTGTGGGTTCCAGTGCAGGACATCTAATGGTCAGTATTAGGTGTCAAGGTGTGGGTTTCAGTGCAGGACATCTAATGGTCAGTATTAGGTGTCAAGGTGTAGGTTTCAGTGCAGGACATCTAATGGTCAGTATTAGGTGTCAAGGTGTGGGTTTCAGTGCAGGCCATCTAATGGTCAAAACTGGGTGTCCCAGTAAGGGTTCAAGTGCAGGACATTTAATGGTCAGTATTACGTGTCCCAGGGGGAGTTCCAGTGCAGGACATCTAATGGTCAGTATTACGTGTCCCAGTGAGAGTTCCAGTGCAGGACATCTAATGGTCAGTATTACGTGTCCCAGTGGGAGTTCCAGTGCAGGACATCTAATGATCAGTATTACGTGTCCCAGTGTGGGTTCCAGTGCACAACATCTAATGATCAGAACTGGGTGTCCCACTGAAGGTTCCAGTGCACAACATCTAATGATCAGAACTGGGTGTCCCACTGAAGGTTCCAGTGCAGGACATTCAATGGTCGGAACTGAGTGTCCCACTGTGGGTCCCAGAGTCCCATTTTGAGGACCCCAAAAAAAAAAAAAAAACCTAGACCAACTGTCTACTAACCAGCTTGTCAGGTGATCATTTAAGGTTTGTTGCTGAAATGTGTTGGGCTGAAAAGTACATGATTCACAGTCCAGCTGTAAAGCACAATACAACATGATAAACACTAGTTTAAGGCTGAATGCAGAAGAAGTAGCAAAAGAACTAGTTGCAGTGTCTGTGATCATTAAGACCTGTCATGTGTAATTTCTGATAGTGGTAGTTTTTATGTCAAATGGTGATGATTATGTTCACAAATTCATGTCTAAATATCAAGACTGATTATAGTGATGTGTAATTATAAGGAATGGTTTAGTAGCCACAGCCGTAGTTGTAGCTGTAGCAGCAGTTGTAGCAGTAATTGTAGCAGTAGTTGCAGCAGCAATTATAGCAGCAGTTGTAGCAGTAATTTGACAGTAGTTGTAGCAGCAATTATAGCAGCAGTTGTAGCAGTAGTTGTAGCAGTAGTAGTGTTAGCAGTAACAGCAGTACTATTAGCAGTAGTGGCTACAGTAGCAATAACAGTAGTAGTATCAGCTGTAGTTGAAGTAGTAAAAGTAACTGCAGCAGCAGTAACAGAAGTAGTAGCAAAAGAAGCATGTTTAGGACTAGGCACAGTAGCTACATTGGTAGGTGTGGTAGTGACAGCAGCAGTGGTCAAAACAGCAGCATCAACAACAATAGCAGAAATAGTAGCACTAACAGAAACAGTAACATGAGTAGTAGCATTAGAATTAGTAGATATCATTGTAGGAGTAAGCAGTTGTAGCAGAGTAGAACAATTACATCCAGGGATGAGACTTACTTGCTGGATGGCTGTAACCATGTGACCTGGCGTGTAACCATCTGTGACCTTGGACAGTGAGCTGATGTCTAATGTGTTTGAGAGTTGTCCCCCATACTTCACAATGAGTTTCCTCCACAGCACTGCATGTAGAAAACAATAAAGATATTTGCATGACCACTTGGAATGCCCACAAAGAAAAATGTGTCAAAGATGTGCACAAGGTGACTATCTGATGAAAACACGTCCTCTGTTTCGGTTTCTGATAAGAAATGCAAACAATGGACACAGACCTGCAGGAAAAGAAGTGTTCAAGTGTTGCTGTCTCCTGCTTTTGCCAACAGATCCCCCCATACCCCCCCCCCCCCCCCCGACACTCCCCCCCCCCAGTAAGCAACATTATGCATCCTCAGAAACTAGCCATGGCAACCATCAGAGCAAAAAACAATCCTCGAAACAAGCATCTTTCCTGGGACAACATACACATCTGAGTCATGGACTGCTGCTTCTACTGCTGCTGCTGCTGTTGCTACTGCTGCTGCTGCTGCTTTTGCTTCTAATGCTGATGCTGATGCTCCTGCTGCTGCTCCAGCTCCTGTTCCTGCTGCAGCTGCTGCTCCTGCTCCTGTTTCTACTGCTGATGCTCCTGCTGCTGATGCTCCTGCTGATGCTCCTGCTGCTGATGCTCCTGCAGCTGATGCTCCTGCTGCTGATGCTCCTGCAGCTGATGCTCCTGCAGCTGGTGCTCCTGCAGCTGATGCTCCTGCTGCTGATGCTCCTGCTGCTGATGCTCCTGCTGCTGATGCTCCTGATGCTGCTGCTTTTTCTTGTTCTTCCTCCTCATCTTCTTCTTCTTCTTCTTCTTCTTCACACTCCTCCTCTTCCTCCTTCTTCACCTCCTCCAGTTCCTTCATCAAAATGTTTGGGGATATATCAGGATCTTCTATGTGCACTTTTTCCCAATAAGCTGTATAAGTTGGTCTCTGTTTCCTTAAAGCTGTTCTTGATGCCATTATTCCATGTTCTGTGTGGCCTTCCTCTTCCTTTGTGTTCCCTATATTTGCTCAGCATGGCTCTCCGTGGCAGCTGGTACCAGGGCATTCTCTCCAGATGGCCAAACTAATCTTATATGTTGCTTTATTCACATGCAGCACTAGTTTCAGGCTTATTCAGCTTCCAGTTTCTTCATTTCAAATTGTACCTGTTTCTGTTACCATGGCAGCTATTTTCAGATAGTTCATCTCTGTCATTATGACTGTGTGCTCTTTATTTGTAATAAGGGTCCAGGTTTGACACTGATAGCATAATGTTGGCCAAATATTGAGTTCTTACTAGACTTGCTGTGCTAGATGAAGGTATACTTCTATGTGTATAAAGTGGTATTAGTTGTCCCAGATCCTGGCTTGCTTTAACACATTGTATGTTTATTTCTCTATTCATTCTTTATTCTGATGTGAATAATGACCCTAGATATTTAAATTCACTAGTTTGTTTTGAGCTGCATTTTTTCTCTGTCCCCTTATAACATATATGCTGAGAATGTTATGAGAAACGCAATTAGCAATGAGGCATGTGAGACCGTTTGATCCACCAAAAATTGGAGGTAACCCTATCCCAGAACTCAGAAATGCAGACGAAACAGTTCTCCATTCCAACAGTGTACAGGATTTATAAAAACGAATTATGACCGTTAAAAAATACAGCGAAAAAGTGAATCTATTTCTGAATTTGAAAAACCTAACAAAAATCACGTCCTCATTAAATACAGTACACCAGCCACATATCACAATCAAAGAAAAAAAAAGAAATATAAAATTTCACAGATTTCAAATACTTGGGCTCTTTAGTGAACAACAGCGGCGACTGTTTGAAAGAAGTCAGAAAAAGACTTGCTTCAGCAGTGGAGAGTTTAAACAGCATGAAGAACCTATAGCAAAGCACCTGTAAATTAGTTACAGTAAAAATCTTGAGATCATGCATTTTTATGTGGCTATTTATGTTTATGAGTCCTGAACTCTCACTCAGTCACTGAAGAAAAAGATTGGAGCTTTACAATTTTAATATTATAGAAAAATTCCCAGAATGCCATGGATCAAGAAGAGGGAAAACATTGACATTTTACATGAGTTAAACATCAAGGAGAACTGGCTCATAAATAGCGTCTCGTCCCGAAAGTTGAAGAATTTGGCCATATCAAACCTCATGGTGGCTTGGAAAAGACAGTGATAGAGGGTGCGTTTGTGAATAGCAAGGCAAGGGATGACTTCTGTGAAGATGGATACAGGACATTGAAGATGCATTAGCACTGAAAGCACATGGGGCTGGAGAGCTAATTAGGCAAAGGGATACTTTCAGGCATGCCGTGAGTAGAGTGACGGTCTGTAAAGGACTTGCTGGTTGATTGATAAATTTGCTTTATTTCTGTGTCACGTTTACTGATACGGTTTCTGATTGCCTGCCTATCTCTACTGTCTCTGATTTTTCCAAGCTAAGACTATTTTGCAAGCGCACATACACACACAAATATATGGGTTTCTGGGCATAAATGTTGCAGGAAGATTTTTAGAGAATTGTGAACAATGGACAGAAACAACGTGGACATTCTTCATGGTCTGAACAGAGAGGGGCTCTGGCTCATAAACAGTAAAGTGTCTCAGGAACTGCAATACTTCTGCCATATTGGACTCCAAATGGCTTGTAGAGATAGCAAATGAAGGGTTTGGGTCCCAGAAGATGAGTCAGGGGTTGACGAGTAAGATGGTAGATGTGGAAGGTCAAAAACACCATGTTCATAAATGTTCAGGAGGTTGGAAAGTTGGCCAGGAATTAAGTGGTTCTTCAATGTGTAATAATGGCAGCAAGATTCTGCAAAGGATCTGCTAGATGATGATGATGTGCAAAAAATGTAAAGTTTACATCAGTTTAGGGGTGTCCCATTAGTTGTTACCTGAATGATGACAGGCAAGAAATGTTAGAATAACATTAGGTGATTCACAACATCACTACAGCTGGCTGCATTGTAAACATGATTCAACATGATCCCATAACAAACTCACTGAGGACTGGCTTGGCTGTTCATGTCATACATCAAAGAATATAACCTTTATTCAGACCCACAATGCATGTGATCAGAGCAGAGTGTTTTTAGTGGTCACAATGATTTTCTGTGATTTCCCATTCAGTCTCAGAGAAGAGATACTCACAGTGTCTGGAAGCATAGTCTGGTCTGGGAATCAGGATGACTTGGTAGCAGAGAAGAGATACTCACAGTGTCTGGAAGCATAGTCTGGTCTGGGAGTCAGGATGACCCGTTGGTAGCAGAGAAGAGATACTCACAGTGTCTGGAAGCATAGTCCGGCCTGGGAATCAGGATGACTCGTTGGTAGCAGAGAAGAGATACTCACAGTGTCTGGAAGCATAGTGCGGCCTGGGAATCAGGATGACTCGTTGGTAGCAGAGAAGAGATACTCACAGTGTCTGGAAGCATAGTCCGGCCTGGGAATCAGGATGACTCGTTGGTAGCAGAGAAGAGATACTCACAGTGTCTGGAAGCATAGTCCGGCCTGGGAATCAGGATGACTCGTTGGTAGCAGAGAAGAGATACTCACAGTGTCTGGAAGCATAGTCCGGCCTGGGAATCAGGATGACCCGTTGGTAGCAGAGAAGAGATACTCACAGTGTCTGGAAGCATAGTCTGGTCTGGGAATCAGGATCACCCGTTGGTAGCAGAGAAGAGATACTCACAGTGTCTGGAAGCATAGTCCGGCCTGGGAATCAGGATGACCCGTTGGTAGCAGAGAAGAGATACTCACAGTGTCTGGAAGCATAGTCCGGCCTGGGAATCAGGATGACCCGTTGGTAGCAGAGAAGAGATACTCACAGTGTCTGGAAGCATAGTCCGGCCTGGGAATCAGGATGACCCGTTGGTAGCAGAGAAGAGATACTCACAGTGTCTGGAAGCATAGTCTGGTCTGGGAGTCAGGATGACCCGTTGGTAGCAGAGAAGAGATACTCACAGTGTCTGGAAGCATAGTCCGGCCTGGGAATCAGGATGACCCGTTGGTAGCAGAGAAGAGATACTCACAGTGTCTGGAAGCATAGTCTGGTCTGGGAGTCAGGATGACCCGTTGGTAGCAGAGAAGAGATACTCACAGTGTCTGGAAGCATAGTCTGGTCTGGGAGTCAGGATGACTTGGTAGCAGAGAAGAAATACTCACAGTGTCTGGAAGCATAGTCCGGCCTGGGAATCAGGATGACTCGTTGGTAGCAGAGAAGAGATACTCACAGTGTCTGGAAGCATAGTGCGGCCTGGGAATCAGGATGACTCGTTGGTAGCAGAGAAGAGATACTCACAGTGTCTGGAAGCATAGTCCGGCCTGGGAATCAGGATGACTCGTTGGTAGCAGAGAAGAGATACTCACAGTGTCTGGAAGCATAGTCCGGCCTGGGAATCAGGATGACTCGTTGGTAGCAGAGAAGAGATACTCACAGTGTCTGGAAGCATAGTCCGGCCTGGGAATCAGGATGACCCGTTGGTAGCAGAGAAGAGATACTCACAGTGTCTGGAAGCATAGTCTGGTCTGGGAATCAGGATCACCCGTTGGTAGCAGAGAAGAGATACTCACAGTGTCTGGAAGCATAGTCCGGCCTGGGAATCAGGATGACCCGTTGGTAGCAGAGAAGAGATACTCACAGTGTCTGGAAGCATAGTCCGGCCTGGGAATCAGGATGACCCGTTGGTAGCAGAGAAGAGATACTCACAGTGTCTGGAAGCATAGTCCGGCCTGGGAATCAGGATGACCCGTTGGTAGCAGAGAAGAGATACTCACAGTGTCTGGAAGCATAGTCCGGCCTGGGAATCAGGATGACCCGTTGGTAGCAGAGAAGAGATACTCACAGTGTCTGGAAGCATAGTCCGGCCTGGGAATCAGGATGACCCGTTGGTAGCAGAGAAGAGATACTCACAGTGTCTGGAAGCATAGTCTGGTCTGGGAGTCAGGATGACCCGTTGGTAGCAGAGAAGAGATACTCACAGTGTCTGGAAGCATAGTCCGGCCTGGGAATCAGGATGACCCGTTGGTAGCAGAGAAGAGATACTCACAGTGTCTGGAAGCATAGTCTGGTCTGGGAGTCAGGATGACCCGTTGGTAGCAGAGAAGAGATACTCACAGTGTCTGGAAGCATAGTCTGGTCTGGGAGTCAGGATGACTTGGTAGCAGAGAAGAAATACTCACAGTGTCTGGAAGCATAGTCTGGTCTGGGAGTCAGGATGACCCGTTGGTAGCAGAGAAGAAATACTCACAGTGTCTGGAAGCATAGTCCGGCCTGGGAATCAGGATGACCCGTTGGTAGCAGAGAAGAGATACTCACAGTGTCTGGAAGCATAGTCTGGTCTGGGAGTCAGGATGACCCGTTGGTAGCAGAGAAGAGATACTCACAGTGTCTGGAAGCATAGTCTGGTCTGGGAGTCAGGATGACTTGGTAGCAGAGAAGAAATACTCACAGTGTCTGGAAGCATAGTCTGGTCTGGGAGTCAGGATGACTTGGTAGCAGAGAAGAGATACTCACAGTGTCTGGAAGCATAGTCTGGTCTGGGAATCAGGATGACTTGGTAGCAGAGAAGAGATACTCACAGTGTCTGGAAGCATAGTCTGGTCTGGGAATCAGGATGACTCGTTGGTAGCAGAGAAGAGATACTCACAGTGTCTGGAAGCATAGTCTGGTCTGGGAGTCAGGATGACTTGGTAGCAGAGAAGAGATACTCACAGTGTCTGGAAGCATAGTCTGGCCTGGGAATCAGGATCACCCGTTGGTAGCAGCCCATGAATGGCTTCAGCTCAGCATCAAATGGGCAGTGGGTGGTACCAACCAGCAATATACGGTCGTCTGATTTGATAGTCTTCAGAGACTTGGTTAACTCTTTCTTCAGACGTTTTGGATCTGTCTGTATGTTCAAAAACATCACAAGAAATAAAAAAGTGAATCGTAACAACCCGTCAGAGATTCATGTATGTTGATTTGTTTCATTTAAGAAGATATTGTGACATAATACCATCTATTAATGAAATTAGCACAATATATGTGTGACCCAATTGTCCTTTGGTCAGTCTATTTTCATGCTGGATCACATTTAACTTGTTCAGTACAAGGCAAGGTTTCTCTAACTCTTTCTGCCCCAGTCAACACATCAAGTGTTTCTGCATATTATTCCTATGTGCCACTTAGACAGTTATCTATGTTTAAGATTTAGTGAAGGATTCTTTTAAAGACATTCAAGAAAAATTATTTTTTCTTTAAGTATTGGGTATTTAATCCCTGTGAAAGCAGTATATCCATGAGCTTAGTGTTGTCATTCTAGCCTCTCTCATTCAAAGGCTGGATAATCAGCCTCTGTGAAAATAGTATACCCATGAGTTTAGCGTTGTCATTCTTATCTCCCTCAAATATTAGCTAGTGTCTTCCTCAAATATTAGCTAGTACATTGTGGGACGTCTCCCTCAAATATTAGCTAGTACACTGGGGGACGTCTCCCTCAAATATTAGCTAGTACACTGTGGGACGTCTCCCTCAAATATTAGCTAGTACATTGTGGGACGTCTCCCTCAAATATTAGCTAGTACACTGTGGGACGTCTCCCTCAAATATTAGCTAGTACACTGTGGGACGTCTCCCTCAAATATTAGCTAGTACACTGTGGGACGTCTCCCTCAAATATTAGCTAGTACATTGTGGGACGTCTCCCTCAAATATTAGCTAGTACATTGTGGGACGTCTCCCTCAAATATTAGCTAGTACACTGTGGGACGTCTCCCTCAAATATTAGCTAGTACATTGTGGGACGTCTCCCTCAAATATTAGCTAGTACATTGTGGGACGTCTCCCTCAAATATTAGCTAGTACACTGTGGGACGTCTCCCTCAAATATTAGCTAGTACACTGGGGGACGTCTCCCTCAAATATTAGCTAGTACACTGGGGGACGTCTCCCTCAAATATTAGCTAGTACACTGTGGGATGTCTCCTCAAATATTAGCTAGTACACTGTGGGACGTCTCCCTCAGATATTAGCTAGTACATTGTGGGATGTCTCCCTTAAATATTAGTACACTGTAGGACGTCTCCTTCAAATATTAGCTCACTAGAGAATTCCCCATAAGTTTTCCTGACAACAGTAACAGTAATAATAATTTTCTGACCCAGTCTGTCATTCCTTGCTAATACAATGCTGAACTCACTTTATGATAGAATTTAGGCATCTTACTACTCCACCACATCCATCCATAAATTTTCTTCAAAGATTATTGTTGTATCCACACCTCCCAAGAGAGATTACTCATGAAACGTGTGAATCCTGTGAGATTCCTCATGAGACTTGTTTGAATCCTGTGAGATTACTCATGAGACGTGTGAATCCTGTGAGATTACTCATGAGACGTGTGAATCCTGTGAGATTACTCATGAGATGTGTGAATCCTGTGAGATTACTCATGAGACGTGTGAATCCTGTGAGATTACTCATGAGACGTGTGAATCCTGTGAGATTCCTCATGAGACGTGTAAATCCTGTTAGATTCCTCATGAGTCTGACTCCTGTGAGATTCCTCATGAGACTGAATCCTGTGAAATTCCCCCATGAGACTGAATCCTGTGAGATTCCTCATAAGACTTGTGTGAATTCTGTGAGATTCCTCATGAGACTTGTGTGAATCCTGTGAGATTCCCTATGAGCATTGTGTGAAACCTGAATGTTGTCAGCTACTGTAATATTTTTCACTGATCTGTATGGAAGTGTTTGCTGCAACAATCTTTGACTCTCTACCTACAGAATCTACATCAGCTGATCAGATGCTACATTCCTGGTAAAGGTTCTGTTTTCTTCAGCAATGTACGTGAGGTACAGAGTAATCAATATGCAAGGGCTTGGTTATGTTGTGCCGAATGTTCAGACATATATTTGTTCATTCCCAGTCTTTGTATAAAGAATAATGAGTTAATTATTGACCAGTGGGTAGTTGTAGAATTGGCGGCAATCAAACCATTACCTTGGAAACGGATATTGTGAGGGCCAAACACAGCACAGAATCTGTTGTAAAGCACTGCAGCAACATCACAGATTTTCTCAACAAATAACATCACACACAATGTGCAAGGATCACTGCATAAAGTCATTGCACCAATCATGACAACAACAATTTACTCACAGGATCAGATTTGGGAATTTTCTTTTTAAACATTCTCTCACAATCGCCGATGTAGAACACTGATGGCTGCAAGGTTCTTCCAATCTGCATCAACAGAAACATGGCTAACACAAGAGAAAGGCTGGCCAATAATAGGAACAACAAGTGTATGACAAGCACAACATATCTGACAAGGCTGTCTGTCTGAAACCTGTACCTTAAATTACTTGTAGCAGTCAGAATTAGAATTTCCCCTGGACAATGTGAGGCACAAAGTGATGTATATTTATTCCATGCCAGGCTGAAAGTTCTGGTTGTTCCTCCAATTCTAGACCTTTGGTCTTGTTCTAGGAGTCGAGTTTTGCATTCACATCCATCTTAGAGATTTGGCTTGAGTTCCTCACCTCTCAGGTCCATCTTAGAGATTTGGCTTGAGTTACTCACCTCTCAGGTCCATCTTAGAGATTTGGCTTGAGTTACTCACCTCTCAGGCAGATGCACTTTAATGAAAATGTTGATCCTATCAACAATCACCAGATTATGGTGAGGAAGCTGTGGACAGGATGAATATGGAGAGGTGTGGAGAGGTTTGACCTTTCTGTGGTCGTGCTCTAATACCATGTGTGGTAAGTACCTCCCCATCCCTGCCTTACACCAACTCTAGCTTCACTGAAAATATACCATTTCTAACTTGAAAACATAGATTAAAACAAGTTCTCATCATTTACTATATCTGCTTGTACACAAAATTAATTTTCATTCTTATTTCCCTTCTCCCTCAGGTTTATTACAAAACCCGCATCATCAAACCTGATTGCTTTATTATCTGTCTTTATTTCATTGGATGTTCATTTCAGGATGAGGCTGTGATAGATCCAGAAATCTGGTAGTGGATTTAACTGTTCACAAAACACCTGCTCTAGAAACTAAATAAAATCTGGAAAACCATCAGACAAAACAACAAACAGAAAAACCATCAGACAGAACAAACAAACAGGAATACCTAGGGCTAAATTCACTGAGAAACAAAACTGAATTTGTCTGGCCACCTGATGAGAATAAAACCAACAATGGAAACAATGGAAATTGCTAACACCAAGAGGTAGAGGGAAACTTCTATGGATTGATGGAGTCAATAACAGCCTTAGACTTCACAACATCCCAACATCACAACATCCCAGCATAACAGCCTCACAACATCACAACACCCCAGCATCACAACACCACAGCATCACAACATCACAACACCACAACATCCCAGCATCACAACACCACAACATCCCAGCATCACAACATCATAACACCACAACATCCCAGCATCACAACACCACAACATCCCAGCATTACAATGCCACAAACCACAACATCTCAGCATCAATAAAACTGTGATACATAGGGACAGAAAGCAAATATTGACACAAGAAGAAACAGTGTGCCATGTTGGGTATTGTTAATTTCTAACTGTCATTAAGTTTTACTGTTCACTTCTAGACAAATCTCTGCTTTTGGTTCCTGACTGATCTTACCTTACATATCAGGTGCAGCAAGCCTTCTCTTATTTATCAGCTGCATTCAGTCTTGCCTTTTTATCAGGTATAACTGGTCTTGCATAATATATCAGGTGCATCTAATCTTACCTAATATATCAGGTGCATCTGGTGTTACCTTATGCATCAGGTGCATCTGGTATTATCTTGTGTATCAGAAGTATTTGGTATTATCTTATGTATCAGGTGTATTTGGTATTAACTTATCTATCAGGTGCATTTGGTTTCACCTTATAAATCATGTGCATTTAATTTTACCTTATCTATCAGGAGTGGTGTCCGTGGCTTAGGCCTTGCGAGTCTGCGAGTCCGGCTCGTAATTTCAACGTACTGCAATTGAAACCCACTACTGGCTGTGTAGATTTTTTTCATGGTATGGGGCGTCGCAGGTCGACCCAGCCTAAAATGGGTACCAGGATGGCTGCCCTGGGGAAGTAAAGACGGCCGGCGTAATGCTGACCACATTACATATTGCCGATTGGTCTGTAAATATATGGAACGCTCTTCCCATATACCCGATGCGCCTAAGGCGTGAAAAGGGATCTTTACTTTACTTATCTACCAGGTGCATTAGGTTTCACCTTACAAATCATGTGCACTATATTTTACCTTATATATCAAGTGCATCAACATTTTGAGGCCATCTCTGCCAGGATACTTGCCAACCAGGTTGACAGGTGACAGATCAAAGAGGTTTGCTCCTAGTTCTGTACACATGGCATGCACCAGCATCTTCTTGCCTGTCCCCTGGGGGCCAGCGATCAAGATTGATCTGGTCAGAGGTACCTTCTCATGCACAGCTGGAGAACCTGCAAACGGAGAAAATATCTGGTCGTGCACATTTAGTGAGCCTAAAAGTTACAAGGATTATTTCAAAATTATATCCCTTTTTAAACATAGACATCCAACGAGCACCGCAGTGACCAGCTTCACTCTCAGTCACAGTCAACTCACAGTCCCTTTGTCGGTTTCTGCTTCAGTTCTGTCACTTCTTTTGCACCAGCCAGATTTGACACCAATTTATTCTGTGTCTGTGGTTACTTTAACCCTTTCTGTCACATGGTGATCTTGTTTTATTTACTTCAGGTAGAAATATTTTTTGGTTGAGTAACAATGGCTTCTGACATAATTTATTTCATTAATATGTGCCTGGAACTGAAAGAGTTAATGGCTGTGAATAAAGCTATGGTGGCCAAGTTGTTAGTGCGCTAGCTCATTACTGGGAGACTGACCGTAGTGCACTAGCTCATAACTGGGAGACTGACCGTAGTGCACTAGCTCATAACTGGGAGACTGACCGTAGTGCACTAGCTTTTAACTGGAAGACTGACCGTAGTGCACTAGCTCATAACTGGGAGACTGACCGTAGTGCACTAGCTCATAACTGGGAGACTGGCCGTAGTGCACAAGCTTATAACTGGGAGACTGACCGTAGTGCACTAGCTCATAACTGGGAGATGGGCCGTAGGGCACTAGCTCATAAGTAAGAGATGGACTGTAGTGCACTAGCTCATTACTGGGAGACTGACCGTAGTGCACTAGCTTTTTAACTGGAAGACTAGCTCATTAGTGCACTGCTCATAACTGGAGACTGACCGTAGTGCACTAGCTCATAACTGGGAGACTGACCGTAGTGCACTAGCTCATAACTGGGAGACTGACCGTAGTGCACTAGCTCATAACTGGGAGATGGGCCGTAGTGCACAAGCTTATAACTGGGAGACTGACCGTAGTGCACTAGCTCATAACTGGGAGACTGACCGTAGTGCACTAGTGCACTAGCTCATAACTGGGAGACTGACCGTAGTGCACTAGCTCATAACTGGGAGATGGGCCGTAGTGCACAAGCTTATAACTGGGAGACTGACCATAGTGCACTAGCTCATAACTGGGAGACTGACCGTAGTGCACTAGCTCATAACTGGGAGACTGACCGTAGTGCACTAGCTCATAACTGGGAGACTGACCGTAGTGCACTAGCTCATAACTGGGAGACTGACCATAGTGCACTAGCTCATAACTGGGAGACTGACCGTAGTGCACAAGCTTTTAACTGGAAGACTGACCGTAGTGCACTAGCTTATAACTGGAAGACTGACCGTAGTGCACTAGCTCATAACTGGGAGATGGGCCGTAGTGCACAAGCTTATAACTGGAAGACTGACCGTAGTGCACAAGCTTATAACTGGAAGACTGACCGTAGTGCACTAGCTCATAACTGGGAGACTGACCGTAGTGCACTAGCTTATAACTGGGAGACTGACCATAGTGCACTAGCTCATAACTGGGAGATGGACCATAGTGCACAAGCTTATAACTGGAAGACTGACCGTAGTGCACAAGCTTATAACTGGAAGACTGACCGTAGTGCACTAGCTCATAACTGGGAGACTGACCGTAGTGCACTAGCTTATAACTGGGAGACTGACCGTAGTGCACTAGCTCATAACTGGGAGACTGGGCCGTAGTGCACAAGCTTATAACTGGAAGCTCATACTGGGAGACTGACCGTAGTGCACTAGCTAATAACTGGGAAGACTGACTGACATAGTGCACTAGCTCATAACTGGGAGACTGACCGTAGTGCACTAGCTCATAACTGGGAGACTGACCGTAGTGCACTAGCTCATAACTGGGAGACTGACCGTAGTGCACTAGCTTATAACTGGAAGACTGACCGTAGTGCACTAGCTCATAACTGGGAGACTGACCGTAGTGCACAAGCTTTTAACTGGAAGACTGACCGTAGTGCACTAGCTCATAACTGGAAGACTGACCGTAGTGCACAAGCTTATAACTGGAAGACTGACCGTAGTGCACTAGCTCATAACTGGGAGACTGACCGTAGTGCACTAGCTTATAACTGGGAGACTGACCGTAGTGCACTAGCTCATAACTGGGAGACTGACCGTAGTGCACTAGCTCATAACTGGGAGACTGACCGTAGTGCACTAGCTCATAACTGGGAGACTGACCGTAGGCAACTGACCTTAAATAAGATGACAGTGGTTTATTCGTCCATCTTGCCTTTCCTCTGAGTGTTGAGTGTAAGCTAGATATCCTAGTCACTGCTGTTGGAACATTTTCACCAGATATTTCTATTCTGGGAGTGGGTGATTAGCTCTCCCCTGGCATGAAACATGTGACCAAGTTTACAAATGTGCACCAATCTCTGAATAATGGGAAAAGGATGCTCACGTCTGAAATCAAATCAATATGCCAGGAAGACTGCCCACTATTTACGACACTACAAGATCACAGACAGGTAGAAAAAGATACTGTAAGTGGTGTGTGTGTGAAGTGCCTAGTCGTGACACTGGGCTGGGGAGGTAGTATCCTTTCTTCCCACCTTTCATTCTTAGGCAAGGACCACCAAATTCAGAAGAAAAAAAACTGTGATTGACTGAACTCAAGAATTACTTTCACAGACAATAACACTAACAACTCTGCCACTAGAGCAAACCACACTTCTACATCCACATCACATTTTGTAATGCCAGGCAGGCTACATAAACCTGGTGGATTTTAGTTTGGCTTTCAGTGCAACAAAAATACCTAGAGGCAGGATGCCAAACTCCGTGATCAGTCTGCGAACATCTGAGAGAGATGGCATGGGTTCGATGTTGGCCTGCCTCAGAGTAGTGCCCAGGTAGCTGTATTCTCCCTCGTAGTCACTCATTTTGACTTGTGGACACCGAACTATGATCCCTTGCATAACCAGCTCCTCATACAGCTCCTCAATTGTCCTGAGAAATATCACACACACACAAACAACAAACATAATGTATTTTCTTATAATCATGTGTTGTTGGATCAGGTGTCATCTACACTGATGATATTCACTACGTAGACAGAGTGTCTGTGGGTTTGGTATGATGTCGATTCTTTAATTTTAGACAATTTTCTATGTTTATTTTTCATAACAATTATGTATTTCTTCTTCTTCTTCTTCTTCTTCTTCTCGATCCTTCTGACAGAAAACTTATATCAGGAGGCCGGTAGCCTTTATGAAAGCTATCGAGCAGTCCATATCTTCTCATGCACCATACAGTTTTGTCTTTATTGAGGTTGGAACAGGCCAGATTGTATCTCTGTTGTCAGCATCCAGTTGACAGTGTTGGAGCACATGCTCAGCATTTTTAGATGCCAAGTTGCAGGGGCACGTCTCCGTGTTTCCTACTTTTGTCTTGCCTGTCTTCTAGAGCACGAAGACCAGTAATTTTTTCCATGTCTGATATGGGCCTGGAGCGCATGGCCCTTGTCATAATAACGGAGAGCATGGTTTTCAATCTTTAAGACTTTTGAAAATTTGATTTAGCTGCTGTGCCCCAAGCAGCTATTCCATATTCTAGTGCTGGCCTCACGTAGCTTGTATAGGTCCTCTTGAGGACACTGAGGTTTGCCCCCCCCCCCCCCCCCCCCCCCCCCCAGTCTGTTCCAGCTAAATTCTGCATCAGTTGGGTTCTCTTGAGTCCCGTGCTCTGTGTCTTTTCTATCAGTTTTCTCCATGTGAGTCTCAGGTCAAAGGTTACTCGTAAATACGATGGTGAGTCATCATGTTTCAGGGCCTGGCTGCCACATGTAAGTGAAACTTCCTGGGGTTTGGTGGAAAAACTGAAAATGGTGTGTGTGGTTTTGGCCCCATTTACAGGCATGTACCAATTATTGGACTTATTATTATGCACTTATAATTATGATGTATTTAATTACCATAGACATTATGTATTTATTTATCACAAACATTATGTACTTATCTATCACAATCATAAACATTCTGTATTTGTTTATCATAAACATTCTGTATTTATAACACAAAAATGGGAGTAACAAGACAGTTGCTAAAGGAAATAACCCTGAGACAAGGAAGGACAAGATAGTTACTGAAGGAAATAACACTGATACAAGGAATGATAAGATAGTTACTGAAGGAAATAACACTGAGACAAGGAATGACAAGATAGTTACTGAAGGAAATAACACTGATACAAGGAAGGACAAGATAGTTACTGAAGGAAATAACACTGATACAAGGAATGATAAGATAGTTACTGAAGGAAATAACACTGAGACAAGGAATGACAAGATAGTTACTGAAGGAATATAACACTGATACAAGGATAGGACAAGATAGTTACTGAAGGAAATAACACTGATACAAGGAATGATAAGATAGTTACTGAAGGAAATAACACTGAGACAAGGAATGACAAGATAGTAACTGAAGGAAATAACACTGAGACAAGGAAGGACAAGATAGTTACTGAAGGAAATAACACTGATACAAGGAATGACAAGATAGTTACTGAAGGAAATAACACTGATACAAGGAATGATAAGATAGTTACTGAAGGAAATAACACTGATACAAGGAAGGACAAGATAGTTACTGAAGGAAATAACACTGATACAAGGAAGGACAAGATAGTTGCTGAAGGAAATAACACTGATACAAGGAAGGACAAGATAGTTGCTGAAGGAAATAACACTGAGACAAGGAATGACAAGATAGTTACTGAAGGAAATATCGCTGATACAAGGAAGGACAAGATAGTTACTGAAGGAAATAACACTGATACAAGGAATATCAAGATAGTTACTGAAGGAAATAACACTGATACAAGGAAGGACAAGATAGTTACTGAAGGAAATAACACTGATACAAGGAAGGACAAGATAGTTACTGAAGGAAATAACACTGATACAAGGAAGGACAGGATAGTTACTGAAGGAAATAACACTGATACAAGGAAGGACAAGATAGTTACTGAAGGAAATAACACTGAGACAAGGAATGACAAGATAGTTACTGAAGGAAATATCGCTGATACAAGGAATGACAAGATAGTTACTGAAGGAAATAACACTGATACAAGGAATATCAAGATAGTTACTGAAGGAAATAACACTGATACAAGGAATGACAAGATAGTTACTGAAGGAAATAACACTGATACAAGGAAGGACAAGATAGTTACTGAAGGAAATAACACTGATACAAGGAATGACAAGATAGTTACTGAAGGAAATAACACTGATACAAGGAATGACAAGATAGTTACTGAAGGAAATAACACTGATACAAGGAATGACAAGATAGTTACTGAAGGAAATAACACTGATACAAGGAATGACAAGATAGTTACTGAAGGAAATAACACTGAGACAAGGAATGACAAGATAGTTACTGAAGAAAATAATGCTGATACAAGGAATGACAAGATAGTAACTGAAGGAAATAACACTGATACAAGGAATGACAAGATAGTTACTGAAGAAAATAACACTGATACAAGGAATGACAAGATAGTAACTGAAGGAAATAACACTGATACAAGGAATGACAAGATAGTTACTGAAGGAAATATCGCTGATACAAGGAATGACAAGATAGTTGCTGAAGGAAATAACACTGAGACAAGGAATGACAAGATAGTTACTGAAGGAAATAACGCTGATACAAGGAATGACAAGATAGTTACTGAAGGAAATAACACTGATACAAGGAATATCAAGATAGTTACTGAAGGAAATAACACTGATACAAGGAAGGACAAGATAGTTACTGAAGGAAATAACACTGATACAAGGAAGGACAAGATAGTAACTGAAGGAAATAACACTGAGACAAGGAATGACAAGATAGTTACTGAAGGAAATAACACTGATACAAGGAAGGACAAGATAGTTACTGAAGGAAATAACACTGATACACGGAAGGACAAGATAGTAACTGAAGGAAATAACACTGATACAAGGAAGGACAAGATAGTTACTGAAGGAAATAACACTGATACAAGGAATGACAAGATAGTTACTGAAGGAAATAACACTGATACAAGGAAGGACAAGATAGTAACTGAAGGAAATAACACTGATACAAGGAATGACAAGATAGTTACTGAAGGAAATAACACTGATACAAGGAAGGACAAGATAGTTACTGAAGGAAATAACACGGATACAAGGAATGACAAGATAGTTGCTGAAGGAAATAATACTGAGACAAGGAATGACAAGATAGTAACTGAAGGAAATAACACTGAGACAAGGAATGACAAGATAGTTACTGAAGGAAATAACACTGATACAAGGAAGGACAAGATAGTAACTGAAGGAAATAACACTGATACAAGGAATGACAAGATAGTTACTGAAGGAAATAACACTGATACAAGGAAGGACAAGATAGTTACTGAAGGAAATAACACGGATACAAGGAATGACAAGATAGTTGCTGAAGGAAATAACACGGATACAAGGAATGACAAGATAGTAACTGAAGGAAATAACACTGAGACAAGGAATGACAAGATAGCTGCTGAAGGAAAATAACATTAAATGACAAAAAAGCGTCTAAAGGAAAATAACATTGAGACAAGTGAACTATTTCAGCCATATAAAAGACGTCACATTCTTTTTTAAACTATCTTGGCAGGAAAAGTCGCAGGAAAATAAGCAAGAGGTAGACAGCGACACAAGTCGAAGGACACCATCAAGACATGGGCAAACGGCAGTCTGAGAGAATGTACATCCAGGGTGAAAGACACAGCATGTCTGAGATCCACTGCGGCCATTCTTCTTTTTGAAGATGGCACCGGACTGCGTGATTGAAAAATTAGAGGCCTATTTTGCTGAGATGAGACCAGGCATTCTTGCTGGGCTGTTCAGTGTGCAGGTCAACAGACATAATCTTGACACCTGCTGAGGTTTGGAATCAATGAGGTTTGAAACCAATAATGTTTAGAATCAAAGAGGTTTGGAACCCCAATCTCCAGATATCAAGGACCCATCTGGCCCCATCTGCTTCTCACATCAAATCTGTGAATCACATTAAGTATCTTCCTCCTGTGTCTACTAGAAGGATGTTAAGGAGTGAGCAGTCACTTGTTATTGTATTCACTATACAGTGTATTCTGGCCCCATTTAAAAAAAAGAAACCTAACATGCAATAGATGGGAGTCGCCGTGGTGTAGCGGCTAGATGCTCGCGTGCAGATCGGAAGGTTGTGGGTTCGCTCCCTGGCGGAGCCGGACTTTTTAAAAAATGATTTTGACTCTCAGGTCGACCCAGCCTTGAGTGGGTACTGGGTGCAGTCCCAGGAAGTAAAGGTGGCCAGTGTGATGCTGACCACATCATCCATCTTATGCCGATTGGTCTATACAAATATAGGTCTAGCCCTATAAGCCCTATATGCCTAAAGGCCTGGAAAAGGGACATTTACTTACATGAAACAGATAACAAACCCCTCTTGGTCAAGCTTGGAACTATTGTCTTCACATTTTAGAGTTGGCACCTTCTCCTTTTATAATAATCTAATATCCTAACATTCTAAGATCTACTTTCCCAGGTCCATGGAAGTTAATATGAACGACAACCAAACTGGCAAACCAAATAAAACCTACCTGTCAGATGTTAGATCTTTCTCTTTCTTTCTCCCCTTTCTTCCTTTCTTGCCTTTCTTTCCTTTCTTCTTCTTTTTCTTCTTTTTCCCAGCCTTTTTACCTTTCTTTCCTTTCTTGTCTCTATCTACAGCCTAAATAATCAAACAGCAAAAGTCATTTAATCAAAATCAAAATAAAAACTATTTTCATCAAACTATCCATCATACTTTTAGGTTTTTCAGTCATAAATATGTCCTGGCTAACCAGTCTGTTGAAGCAGAACCAAGTGTGGATGTCATTAAAATGCTTGAAATATTTGCTCCAACTGTATAATGCCAACAGAACTAGAAACTGTCAATCAAGCAAAGCTTACTTTCAAGTGGGGATCCAACTAGATTTATAAAGTGCCACTGTCAGACATCTAAACCAACTCTCAAGAACCCTCACTGCGATAAATTTTCCGCTGACTGTCCAAGGGGATGATGTAATGCAGTGTTTCAATGACTAACTTAAAACAGCAGCCAATCCACTATTGTTCTATACTGTGTTCAATGTTTAAATTCAAAACTATCCCAGCAGCAACATCACAAGAATTATTGCTGCCAAATGAAACAATGACTATAACAACTTCAGCAGTGGGTGGAGCTACTCACATAATGAGAACTGAGTGGGTGGAGCTACTCATATAATGAGAACTGAGTGGGTGGAGCTACTCATATAATGAGAACTGAGTGGGTGGAGCTACTCACATAATGAGAACTGAGTGGGTGGAGCTACTCACATAATGAGAACTGAGTGGGTGGAGCTACTCACATAATGAGAACTGAGTGGGTGGAGCTACTCACATAATGAGAACTGAGTGGGTGGAGCTACTCACATAATGAGAACTGACAGGCAGTGAGGGATGGCAATTCAAGAAAGTTAGATAGTTTTGTGAAAATGATTGGTGGGGCGTGATATGCTTGTCTATTTTACATTACTCTGACCCTGTAGTCAGCTGAAAAGATGTATTGCGTATACTTTCTGTCAGAAAACAGTCAGTGACTGCTTCTGCTTTTCAAGGCTGCAACAATATGTCACTGGTGCCCAAAGCTGGGTGAGCAGAATGACCTGGTGGTCAGGCTGAGATTACCTATTACAGGTGAGTGTTGTGTATGTGGTGTACTTCAGCTAAAAAAGATTCACATGTTTGCTTTACATGTTTTATTTCTCTAGCTGATCCCTGAAGAGGTACAGTTAAATATGCCAGATAATACATTGTCTGCCACAGCTATGAAATGAAGATCAACGTAGACAAAACAGAAGTGATGACATTCTCCAGAAAATGAAGAACCACCAATATCAAAATTGATGAACACCTGTTAGAGCAGCCAAATGATTTTACATATTTGGGGAGCAAAAGATGGAAGAATTAATACAGAAATCCAGCAAAGATGTAATGAAACCAGTCAAATTTTTGACCAAATTGCAACAATTATGAAATGCAAGTATGTGAATATAAATACTAAAAGAAAACTGTTCAACTCAATATTTTTACCAACACTATGCTATCAATGTCAAAAATGGAGGCAATCTTCAGAAGACAGAAGGAAAAATAGCCATGAATGAAATAAAATATTTGCATACTATGCTAGGTGTAACGAGGAAAGATTGACTTAGGAACAATGATATCAGGAGGAGAGTTGACATAGAACCACTACTGAACTTTATAGGTAGACAAAAAATCTAATGGTCTATCCTGCAACAAAATTGGCATCAGACAGGGCACCACAGAGAGCAGTGTCTACAGATACAGCAGTAAGAGAGCCAGAGGTCGACCATGCAGAAGATGGACCACGGAAGTATCAGAGACACTGAATAGTACTATATATGAAGCAAACAGAAGGGCCTGTTCCAGAGATATCTTCCTGCCCTGACTCTGTGAAACATTCCAGGAGTAGATCTGATGTCTAGTCAAATGTAGACTTTTGTGCACACGAATATCACAATACATAAAAAAATATATACGTACAGCTTTTAGATTTGCAAGTTCAGCTCTCATGAGCTCATCCACATGTGTCCTGATCTCCTGCTCCACCTCCTGTCTCTTCTCCTCCTTGATCAGCTCCGAGTCGTGCTTCTGATTAAAGTTGTCAGCTTCACTCCTGGCCATCCACACAGCTGGTTCATCAGCAATCATTCATTAGTCTACACACACTGAACAATCATCTAATTGATGCACATAACAGTCATTAATTTACCTGATACTCTCATTACATTAGTGGTCATTTTGGTGCAGACATAATTCATGATTGCGAACTCATACATTCCTCTGGTGGGATTGCTTCTGGAAGCAGGTGCACAATTCAGAGCAGGAAAATTACAATCACAGTCTAGAGTGATGTGGTGAGGTGATGTGGTGAGGGGATGTGGTGAGGGGATGTTGTGAGGGTATGTGGTGAGGGGATGTGGTGAGGGGATGTGGTGAGAGTTATGTGGTGATGGGATGTTGTGAGGGTATGTGGTGAGGGGATGTGGTGAGGGGATGTAGTGAGAGTGATGTGGTGAGGGGATGTTGTGAGGGTATGTGGTGAGACTGATGTGGTGAGGGGATGTGGTGAGAGTATGTGGTGAGGGGATGTGGTGAGGGTATGTGGTGGTGAGGGTATGTGGTGAGGGTATGTGGTGAGGGGATGTGGTGAGGGGATGTGGTGAGGGTATGTGGTGAGGGGATGTGGTGAGGGTATGTGGTGAGGGGATGTGGTGAGGGTATGTGGTGAGGGGATGTTGTGAGGGTATGTGGTGAGGGGATGTGGTGGTGTTGTGAGGGTATGTGGTGAGGGGATGTTGTGAGAGTTATGTGGTGAGGGGATGTAGTGATGGGATGTGGTGAGGGTATGTGGTGAGGGGGTGTGGTGAGGGGATGTGGTGAGAGGTTGTTGTGAGGGGATGTGGTAAGGGGATGTGGTGAGGGGATGTGGTGAGGGGATGTGGTGAGAGTTATGTGGTGAGGGGATGTGGTGAGGGGATGTGGCGAGGGGATGTAGTGAGGGGATGTGGTGAGGGGGTGTGGTGAGGGGATGTGGTGAGGGTATGTGGTGAGGGGTTGTTGTGAGGGGATGTGGTGAGGGGATGTGGTGAGGGGATGTGGTGAGGGGATGTAGTGAGGGGATGTAGTGAGAGTTATGTAGTGATGGGATGTGGTGAGAGTGATGTAGTTAGAGTTATGCGGTGAGGGAATTTTGTGAGGGGATGTGGTGAGAGTGATGTGAGGGAATGTGGTGAGGGGATGTGGTGAGGGGATGTGGTGAGAGTGATGTGGTGAGGGGATGTGGTGAGAGTGATGTGGTGAGGGGATGTGGTGAGGGGATGTGGTGAGAGTGATGTGGTGAGAGTGATGTGGCGAGAGTGGTATGGTGAGGAGATGTGGTGAGAGTGATGTGGCGAGAGTGGTATGGTGAGGAGATGTGGTGAGAGTGATGTGGCGAGAGTGATTTGGTGAGAGTGGTATTGCGAGGGGATGTGGTAAGGGGATGTGGTGAGGGAATGTGGTGAGAATGAAGTGGTAAGGGGACGTGGTGAGAGTGATGTGGCGAGAGTGATTTGGTGAGAGTGGTATGGTGAGGGGATGTGGTAAGGGGATGTGGTGAGGGGATGTGGTGAGGGGATGTGGTGAGGGGATGTGGTGAGAGTGAAGTGGAGAGGGGATGTGGTGAGGGGATGTGGTGAGGGGATGTGGTGAGGGGATGTGGTGAGAGTGAAGTGGAGAGGGGATCTGGCCGATACTCAAGGCTTGGAGAGAAGGCAAGACGGACATATAATCAGACTGCTACTGGCACTAATGGTATTAGAACTCTGTGCTGGCTGTCGAGGATGAGGACGGAGAACTTATGGGAATGCCCCAAGTGCTGTGATATCAGTTCTTGAATCAACTCAAGTCAACTGTAATCTGATTTCAATTCTGTGTAGTAACGGGATCTTGTCCCCAAAAATATTGTGTGTCAGCTCGTACAGTAACCCAACCAGAATAGCGTTCCAACTAGTACAGTATTCCAACCAGTACAATGTCCTAACTGGTACAGTGTTCCAACCAGTACAGTGTCCCAGCCTGTACAATGTCCCAACCAGTACAGTGTCCCAGCCGGTACAATGTCCCAACCAGTACAGTGTCCCAGCAAGTACAGTGTCCCAACCAGTACAGTGTCCCAACTGGTACAGTGTCCCAACCAGTAAAGTGTCCCAACCAGTACAATGACCCAACCAGTACAGTGTGCCAGTCAGTACAGTGTGCCAGTCAGTACAGTGTCCCAGTCAGTACAGTGTCCCAGTCAGTACAATGTTCCAGCCAGTATAGTGTCCCAGTCAGTACAGTGTCACAGTCAGTACAGTGTCCCAGTCAGTACAGTGTCCCAGTCAGTACAGTGTCCCAGTCAGTACAGTGTCCCAGTCAGTACAGTGTCCCAGTCAGTGCAGTGTTCCAGTCAGTGCAGTGTTCCAGTCAGTACAGTATCCCAACAAGTATAGGTCTTTATTTGATACAATCTCATCAAAAGAGTGCCAGGTGATTGTATAAACTGTCTACAAGCTGTTAGGAAGGATAGCCACACAATGGAGTGGGGACTGGATGTCCACACCTCTTTATGCCGTGACCTAGTTAAAGTCACCATAATGTCATTATCCTCAGAGAAGCCAGTGAACACATCATTCTCCTTTCCCACTATTTCCAGCAAAGATCGTCACATCTATGTAGGTCTGATCTATATAGTAACAGAAGCCTATAGTAACTATAGCTTAAATTTTGAGAAATATATGAGTGAAATCATCTGACTGAAATGAATAAATGGACCAAACTTTGGCGACATATTACAGAGAACTCTGGCAATAATGAAATACAACACTGAAATAATCATAAGGAAATATCACAAAGAAATCAGGTGGGGAGGAGTAAGTGATATCTGTACTCACATTTGTATGTTTCTGCTGACTCGCTGATTGCAGGAACAAAACTAGAGGGGGCCATCTTCCAGCCCTCTTCCTCATCCTGTGTTGATGTACAGAAGAGGAATACATCAGGTTGGGAGGGTGTGTGTGTGCACGCATGCGTACATGCACTCACATATGCGCGTGTGTAATACCCTGTCTATGCATCATACTTTGATTTGCCATCTACACCATGATGCAACACGCTCTCCACGATCTTACACTCACCCAGTGATATCACAGTTCCCCAGAATGTCATGTTCTTTTCTATAACACAATACTTTCCATTGATGTTAAACACTCCAGTGATGTTAAACACCTAGTGAGGTTAAAAACTCAGTGATGTTAAACACCCAGAGATTCTAAACACTCAGTGATGTTAAACACCCAGTGATGTTAAACACCCAGTGATGTTAAACACTCAGTGATGTTAAACACTCAGTGATGTTAAACAACAAGTGTTGTTAAACATAAACACATAGTGATGTTAAACACCAAGTGATGTTAAACACTCAGTGATGTTAAACACTCAGTGATGTTAAACAACAAGTGTTGTTAAACATAAACACATAGTGATGTTAAACACCCAGTGATGTTAAACACCCAGTAATGGTAAACACTCAGCGATGTTAAACACCCAGTGATGTTAAACACCCAGTGATGTTAAACACCCAGTGATGTTAAACACCCAATGAACTTAACCACCCAGTGATGTTAAACACCCAGCAATGTTAAACACCAAGTGATGCTATACACCCTTTGATGTTAAACACCAAGTGATGTTATACATCCTTTGATGTTAAACACCCAGTTATTATCACAAAAATGATGTCTGTAATTACAAGACAAGTAATCATGATAATAACACGGGGATAAAGATGATAACATTAAGGATAAACATGTTAAACACCCAGTGATGTTACACACTCGGTGATGCTAAACACCCAGTGATTATAAATATCAAGTGATGTTACACATCTAGTGATGTTACACACTGAGTGATGATACACTCTTAGTGATGTTACACACTAAGTGATGTTAAACACACAGTGATTATAAATACCAAATGATGTTACACACCCAGTGATGGTACACACTTAGTGACATTACACACCAAGTGATGTTAAACACCTAGTGATGTTACACACCCAGTGATGTTACACACCTAGTGATGTTACACACCTAGTGATGATACACACCCAGTGATGTTACACACCTAGTGATGTTACACACCTATTGATCTTACACACCCAGTGATCTTACACACCTAGTGATGTTGTACACCTAATGATGATACACACCCAGTGATGTTACACACCTAGTGATGTTGTACACCCAGTCATGTTAAACACCCTGTAATTGTGTACACCCAGTGTTGTTAAACACCCCGTAATGTTAAACAACTAGTGATGTTAAACACCCAGTGATGTTACTCATATAGTGATGTTGTACACCCAGTGGTTAAACACCTAGTGATGTTACTCATATAGTGATGTTGCACATCCAGTGATGTTAAAAACCCAGTGATGTTACTCATCTAGTGATGTTGTACACCCAGTGATGTTTAACACCTAGTAATATTGTACACTTAGTGCTGTTAAACACTTAGTGATGTTAAAAAACTCATTATCATGATGTGCCCTGCATACTGGCCCAGGCGCTCATGCGTCTCCACAGATCACGATCCCTGGTTGCCTGGAAGAGCTCTCTTAATGATATTCCTCCATGCCATCGTTTCAGCCTATCCAGCATTATCTCTCTTGGTCAGCCTCTACCCCTTTTTTCTACTAATCTTTACAGTTGAAACGATGTTCTCTGATGTCTCTCTTCTCATTATGTGGCCAAAGAACAGTGTTTGTCTCTTTCTTATTGTTGTATATAGAGCTCTACTTTCATTAGCCTCTTTCAAGCAATCGTTGTTAGTTACTCTGGCTGTCCAAGGTATTCATAACATTCGTCTCAGAAACCACATCTCTATTGCTTCCAAATTCCTCTTAATTTGTTCAGTGAAATTCCAAGATTCGCTGCCATGCTGAAGAACAGGTCCTATGTAACATTTTAGCACCCACTTTCTGACATTAAATAAGAGCCATTTATTGCATAAGATATTTTTCATTTTCTGAAATTCAGCTTTCGCTTGACCTATTCTGCTTTTAATCTCTGTCACACATTTTCCATCTGATGATATGATTGTTCCCAGATGTTTAAATTTATTGATTTGGTTAAGTTTTTTTCCTTCAATTGAGATATCACAACGTGGAATTATCTTCTTCTTTGATATAACCTTACTTCTGTTTTTTAAATATTCAATGAAAATCTTTTCTTAGAACTCTCCATCCCCACAATATCCAGATGCTGTTGTAAATCAGTGCATTTTCAGCTATCAAAACTGTATTATCTGCATAACGCAAATTGTTTATATTGTATCCTCCAACTCTTACTCCTGCATTCTCTTTAATTTCTTTAAAAAATTGTTTCACAATATAGAGAGAAAAGGTCTGGGGATAAGACACTGTCTTTCTCCTTGCTTTATCGGTTCAATAGTACCCAATCTGTTTCCCACTTTAACTCTTGTTATTTGGTTCCAGTAAATGTTTTTAATTATTCTGATATCTTTCCCGTCAACATTGACGTCGTTCACAATTTTTATCATCTCTTCATGTTTAACTTTGTCAAATGCTTTGGTATAATCTATAAAGCACAAATATGAGTCCTTTTGTCTGTCCATTGATCTTTCTCTCAGTGTTCGTAATTTGTATATTGCATTACTTGTCCCTTTAACTTCCATAAATCCATACTGCTCTTCACTTATTTCCATTCTTGTTTTTCTTTTTGTACTTCTCATTATAATTCTAAGTAGTAAATTGATTACATGATTTATTAATTTGACTGTACAAAATTATTCACACACAATTGCTCCTGGTCTTTTGGGCGATGCAATAAATACAGATTTCATTATTAAAAACCTAGTGATGTTAAACACCAAGTGATGTTAAACACCCAGTAATATTGCACACCCAGTGCTGTTAAACACTTAGTGATGTTAAACAACCCGATTATGTTAAACACCCAGTGATGTTAAATATCCAGTGATGTTAAACAAGCAGTGATGTTATACACTTAGTGATGTTAAACACCAGTGATGTTAAACACCCAGGGACATTATACACAAAGAGATTTTTAACACCCAGTAATGTTACACCCCATGATGTTATACTCCCAGTGATGTTAAAAACACAGTGATGTTAAACACCCAGTGATGTTAAAAACACAGTGATGTTAAACACCCAGTGATGTTAGAAACACAGTGATGTTAAACGCCCAGTGATGTTGAAAACACAGTGATGTTAAAAACACAGTGATGTTAACAACCTGGAAATATTATATCCCTATCTCTTGGAAAAGTTATGTACACATATCATCAGTATTCATTGCAATGTTGAGAGTCATATTGTGGATGATCACAAAAATGATGACTGGATTACAAGACAAGTAATCATGATAATAACATTGAGGATAAAGATGATGATAACATTAAGGATAAAGATGATGATAACATTGAGGATAAACATGATGATAACATTGAGAATAAACATGATGATAACATTGAGGATAAACATAAAGATAACATTGAGGATAAACATGATGATAACACTGAGGATAAACATGATGATAACATTGGGGATAAACATGATGTGACACTAGGATAATAAACACAATGATAAGACTGAATTTAATAAACACAATGACAACACCGCGGATAAACATGATGATAAAACTGAGGATAATAAACACGATGATAACACTGAGGATACATGTGATGGTAAAACTGATGATGATAAACATGATAAAAACAACAAAGTAACTCACATCATCATCTCCTTTCTTTCCTTTCTTTCCCTTCTTATCTTTCTTTTCTGCAGCCTTCTTCTTTTCCTTCTTCTTCTTGTCCTTTTTCCCTGACTTGCTCTTTCCTTCTTCCTAGATGAAAAACGTAAATGACTTTACATGTACAACACGTGACACAGGTATGGTTATGTCAAGTTCAATAGGTCAACTCCATGTGTCAGTTTAAAACTGAGTGTTGATTTAAAGCACTGACATCACAGCACTGGGGACATTCCCATAAATACTCCATCCTCACCTTCAGCAGCAAGCAAAAAGTTCAAATTCTGGTGGTGCCAGCAGTAATTTGATTATATGTCTGTCTTGTTTTTCTTCAGAGTCAAGAGTTTTGACCAGATCTCCTGAGTGTAGAGTTTCAACCAGATCCCCAGAGTGTAGAGTTTCGACCAGATCCCCAGAGTGTAGAGTTTCAACCAGATCCCCAGAGTGTAGAGTTTCGACCAGATCCCCAGAGTGTAGAGTATCGACCAGATCCCCAGAGTGTAGAGTTTCAACCAGATCCCCAGAGTGTAGAGTTTCAACCAGATCCCCAGAGTGTAGTTTCAACCAGATCCCCAGAGTGTAGAGTTTCAACCAGATCCCCAGAGTGTAGAGTTTCGACCAGATCCCCTGAGTGTAGAGTTTCAACCAGATCCCCAGAGTGTAGAGTTTCAACCAGATCCCCAGAGTGTAGAGTTTCAACCAGATCCCCAGAGTGTAGAGTTTCGACCAGATCCCCAGAGTGTAGAGTTTTGACCAGATCCACAGAGTGTAGAGTTTCAACCAGATCCCCAGAGTGTAGAGTTTCAACCAGATCCCCAGAGTGTAGAGTATCGACCATATCCCCAGAGTGTAGAGTTTCTACCAGATCCCCAGAGTGTAGAGTTACGACCAGATCCCCAGAGTGTAGAGTTTCAACCAGATCCCCTGGTCACTCCCAGCTGTACCACTCTCCAAACTGTAATGATCAAATGACGCCTCTGCATTGTTAACTAGCACCCACAGGGTCTTGACCGCATCTGCATGTGTAAAAATAACTGACAGACCTATTCTAACATATACACATATATATATGTGACTCTCTATGGCAGAAGTGCATCAGACATATGATGCTAGACTCATATTTGTATGGGCCAGTTGGAACTCAGTGGGTAATGAGTTCACAATAAGGCCAGCTATCTCCTTTACTTCCCGTGTGTCTAAGTATATACATAAATATACACTGACATTGATCTGTCTCAAAGCTTGGGGATATGAACCTGAAAACCTGACCTCCCATCCTGGATATCCTGACACAGTGCAAACCTTATGCAGAGTGAGTGAGGTCGACCAAGAAACATTGATCATTAATCAGGTAATGGTTTGCTGCAAAAAGTTTCACTTTATACGCAGAGCTAAACTACAGAACACAAACACAGCAGCTGCCAAATTTAAACTGCACTGAAACACAACTAACTATAAAACAGAAACAACTTCAGCATAATATGTACATTCAACATAAGCTGTAACATCAGCAATGAGTTACCTATGTTGCTGTAGACCAGTCATCTGTGTATGAGAGAAGATAAATTATAAACAAGATTGTGTGTGTATGTGTGTTTTCAAGTGTGTGTCTGTGTTTTCTCCAGGAATTTTTCTCCAGGAATGTTCTTTCTTTCTATCCCAGCTGATGGCAATTGTTGAACAGCAGGATGGGCAGGGGATTTTATATATATATATATATTTATTTATCTATGTGTTTGTGTGTGCATGCGTGTGCATGCCTGTGCATGTGTGTACGCAAGCATGTGTGTGTGTGTGAGAGAAAGAGAGAGTGAGAGAGAGAGAGAGAGAGAGATTTAAGGAGATAATCTAATATCCGTTTGCTGTTGTGAGGAATATGACATTGTGAGGTCCTAGTTTCTTCCAAGATCTAACTCTGATACCAACTGCCAATTACTGCCTTTATTTTACCATTTTTGCGGTGTAGGCGGGGGTCTTTGAGCCTGAGGATTTACGGCCGCATGGCTAGTGCTGTCACCCCGACTGTGCAGGTGAAGATTTTTTTTTCCCCCGACAGAAAAAATCCCCAGCCTTACTGAGGATTCGAACCAGGGTCTCCCACTTGAGAGCCAACCGTTCTAGCCATTCAGCCAGCTGCTAACTCTGGTCCAGTGTCTGAAACCAACAAGAATGTACAACTCTGGTACCACTGTCTGAAACCCACAAGAATATACAACTCTGGTACCACTGTCTGAAACCCACAAGAATATACAACTCTGGTACCACTGTCTGAAACCCACAAGAATATACAACTCTGGTACCACTGTCTGAAACCCACAAGTATATACAACTCTGGTACCACTGTCTGAACTCCCACAAGAATATACAACTCTGGTACCACTGTCTGAACCCACAAGAATATACAACTCTGGTACCACTGTCTGAAACCCACAAGAATATACAACTCTGGTACCACTGTCTGAACCCCCACAAGAATATACAACTCTGGTACCACTATCTGAACTCCCACAAGACTATACAACTTTGGTACCACTGTCTGAAACCCACAAGAATTTACAATTCTGGTACCACTGTCTGAAACCCACAAGAATATACAACTCTGGTACCACTGTCTGAACCCACAAGAATATACAACTCTGGTACCACTGTCTGAACCCCCACAAGAATATACAACTCTGGTACCACTATCTGAACTCCCACAAGACTATACAACTCTGGTACCACTGTCTGAAACCCACAAGAATTTACAACTCTGGTACCACTGTCTGAAACCCACAAGAATATACAACTCTGGTACCACTGTCTGAACCCACAAGAATATACAACTCTGGTACCACTGTCTGAAACCCACAAGAATATACAACTCTGGTACCACTGTCTGAACCCCCACAAGAATTTACAACTCTGGTACCACTATCTGAACTCCGACAAGAATATACAACTCTGGTACCACTGTCTGAAACCCACAAGAATATACAACTCTGGTACCACTGTCTGAAACCCACAAGAATATACAACTCTAGTACCACTGTCTGAAACCCACAAGAATATACAACTCTGGTGCCACTGTCTGAAACCCACAAGAATATACAACTCTGGTACCACTGTCTGAAACCCATAAGAATATACAACTCTAGTACCACTGTATGAACCCCCACAAGAATATACAACTTTGGTACCACTGTCTGAAACTCACAAGAATGTACAACTCTGGTACCACTGTCTGAAACCCACAAGAATGTACAACTCTGGTACCACTGTCTGAAACTCACAAGAATATACAACTCTGGTACCACTGTCTGAAACCCATAAGAATATACAACTCTAGTACCACTGTATGAAACCCCCACAAGAATATACAACTCTGGTACCACTGTCTGAAACCCACAAGAATATACAACTCTGGTACCACTGTCTGAAACCCACAAGAATATACAACTCTGGTACCACTGTCTGAAACCCACAAGAATATACAACTCTGGTACCACTGTCTGAACCCCCACAAGAATATACAACTCTGGTACCACTGTCTGAACCCACAAGAATATACAACTCTGGTACCACTGTCTGAAACCCACAAGAATATACAACTCTGGTACCACTGTCTGAAACCCACAAGAATATACAACTCTGGTACCACTGTCTGAACCCCACAAGAATATACAACTCTGGTACCACTGTCTGAACCCACAAGAATATACAACTCTGGTACCACTGTCTGAAACCCACAAGAATTTACAACTCTGGTACCACTGTCTGAAACCCACAAGAATATACAACTCTGGTACCACTGTCTGAACCCACAAGAATATACAACTCTGGTACCACTGTCTGAAACCCACAAGAAGTTACAACTCTGGTACAACTGTCTGAAACCCACAAGAGTATACAACTCTGGTACCACTGTCTGAAACCCACAAGAATATACAACTCTAGTACCACTATCTGAAACCCACAAGAATATACAACTCTAGTACCACTGTCTGAAACCCACAAGAATATACAACTCTAGTACCACTATCTGAAACCCACAAGAATATACAACTCTAGTACCACTATCTGAAACCCACAAGAATATACAACTCTAGTACCACTATCTGAAACCCACAAGAATATACAACTCTGGTACTACTGTCGGAAACCCACAAGTACAGTTGGGTGGCATGCATGGAACTCTAGTTCCTCAACAACTGTATTCTGAAATGATTGTATCGGCCTCTCAGTCAAACAGCAGCTCCTATCACAGACAAATTTTTTAATGCATAAAGTCTAATTATGAAATTACAATATTTAGCTAATTTGACATCTGCCGCTTAGAGGAAACTCTGGTACATGTGGCTTGAACATTGTTTCTGAGAGGTGATGCACTGCAGTAACATCCTAATAATTGCTCTGTATGGCTTTATTGCTGACAAGGCCCTACTTCCAGTACCACACTGTTGTGTGCATATAATTCACTCGCAACAAAGTTGCGCCCGGGTGATATAACCACTACATGATTGGGCAAACATTGTGGACATAGCTGGAAATGTCTGCAGACCACCAATGGTTCATGGACCAAAGGCTGCAGACTACTGTTTTATGTGCAAACTGAAATCTATTTCTTTGAGTAAATAAAAAATATAGCTTGAAAATACTGTTCATATTGTTCTTGTGTGAGGCCATAGGAAATTCAAACTGGTAAATATCTCAGTGTTCTGGCCATATAGCATAATGGAGACCAGAAATGATCTGGTGATTGTGTTAGATGGTAAACCAAGATTGCAAACAGTCATCAACATGAACCATGATGATGATAAATATAGAATATTTTGTTCTGTTTCTAAGCAGAAGAGGCTGCTCCCCCATTTGTTAACATTCTGTAAATGCCAGGTGTTTATTAACTCTTTCGTTCCCAAACAACATGATGCATTATTGGCTCTGCTGTGAATACCACTCATGTAATAAATTCTAGTCCTTTTCAGAGTTGGTCACAATATTTTTAGAAATCTGGCTTCTCTATAATTTAGCGTCTTTGAAAACGATACACTGGTGGTTTTTTCCTCTTTGTTTTTATACACATGGGAGTCTCTGGTAGAACCTTCTGGTACTCAAGGAGTTAAAAAGAAAAGTAACTATTACTATTTTAAAGTGTTAACACACTGATTTGCATGATTTAAGGACAATTTAAAAACAACAGAAAAAGACTCAAAGAAAGTGTTTAGATGAAGGTCAGAGAGAACAAACCTTTTCTCTCAGTTCTTTCTCCAACTCTGCAGGATCTTTCTCCTTGAAAATAACAAGTGAGCCACCATCTTCCTCACTGGGGTATTCTGGGAACTTGCCACTGGCATCCCTACAAATAAGTTGTTGAAGTTTAGTTAAGTATAGTTTATCTCCAGTCATAGACTTTAACATAAAAAATAGCAACAGCAAACACAGACATAGGTTCACTGTAGGTCAAAATCAATGTAAGATATCTATACATCTGTGAAATAAACATACACAGACATAAATCTGCCAAAACAAATATTGCAACATAAAGCTGTTTGGTCTCACACAGATTTAAAGTTATAGTAGCCACTGTCTGAGTCAGCAGCAGTCATACTGCTCAAACAGACGATGGATTAAATTAGGAAGGTAACAATTCTCCAGAACTGCAGGAGAAATCAATGACTCATCTGCTAAAGAAGACATCAATGACTCCCATATTACATGAGACATCAATGACTCCCATATTACATGAGACATCAATGACTCCCATATTAACTGAGACATCAATGACTCCCATATAACATGAGACAATGACTCCCATATTACATGAGACATCAATGACTCCCATATTAACTGAGACATCAATGACACCCATATTATATGAGACATAAAGGACTCAAATATTATGAGACATCAAACTCCCATATTATATGAGACATCAATGACTCCCATATTATATGAGACATCAATGACTCCCATATTATATGAGACATCAATGACTCCCATATTATATGAGACATCAATGACTCCCATATTATATGAGACATCAATGACACCCATATTACATGAGACATCAATGACTCCCATATTATATGAGACATCAAACTCCCATATTATATGAGACATCAATGATTCCCATATTATATGAGACATCAATGACTCCTATGCTATATGAGACATTAATGACTCCCATGCTACATAAGACACTAATGACTCCCATGCTACATAAGACACTAATGACTCCCATGCTACATGAGACACTAATAACTTCTATTCTACATGAGACACTGATGAATCCCATGCTACATGAGACACTAATGGCTCCCATGCTACATGAGACACTAATGACTTCTATTCTACATGAGACACTGATGAATCCCATCCTACATGAGACACTAATGATTTCCATGCTACATGAGACACTAATGACTCCCATGCTACATGAGACACTAATAACTTATATTCTACATGAGACACTAATGACTCCCATGCTACATGAAACACTAATGACTCCCATGCTATATGAGACATCAATGACTCCCATGCTATATGGGACATCAATGAATCCCATGCTATATGAGACATCAATGAATCCCATGCTATATGAGACATCAATGAATCCCATGCTATATGAGACACTAATGACTACCATGCTAATTGAGACACTAATGACTACCATCATATATGAGACACTAATGACTCCCATGCTATATGAGACACTAATGACTACCATGCTATATGAGACACTAATGACTCCTATGCTATATGAGACACTTATGACTCTCCTGCTATATGAGACACTAATGACTCCCATGCTATATGAGACACTAATGACTCCCATGCTACATAAAACACTAATGACTCCCATGCTACAAGAGACATTGATGACTTCCATGCTACATGAGACACTGATGAATCCCATGCTACAAGAGACATGTATGACTTCCATGCTACTTGAGACACTAATGAATACTGTGCTATATGAGACACTAATGACTCCCATGCTACATGAGACACTGATGACTCCCACGCTACAGAAGTCAATGAAATATGCTGCCAAGAAACAACTTGGCAGCTTGCAGACCTGCACTCAATGAACCATTGTCGGATCTGATCCATCATGCCTTCTCTCATGTCTGGACCCTCGTTCTTGATGATGTTCTCCTTGATGTTGACCAGAGCCTGTTGATACTCCTGTTCATGAACTTCCTGAGTTTTCCGCCGCTGCTCCTCGGTCTTTGCAGCTAATGTCTGAGGCAGGTTCTTTGGGTTACTTGGCAGTGGTGGGGGTGCCTGCAGACAGATTTCAATGGATCGATGTCAGTAGGTCAGGTGATGTACTAACATCATGTCACTATACTTTTTAGGCAGACACATCAAACCGTTTCAATCTTCTTCTTCTTCTTCATGCTCACCAGCTGTAAACTCTGGCAGAAAGTTCTGGTTGTTCCTCCACTTTTGGACTGCAGTCCTGTTCCAGAACCTGAGTGTTGCATGTGCATCCCTTTTACAGATCTGACTTATTTGTATGCAGACTGCTGGTTCCTTGTCTCTCAGGCAGATGCACTCCGACTTTGAAGCAACCATTCTGATCACCTAGCACTGTTTCAGAGGAGGATAGTCTTCTTCCTATTTTTGTCTTCTTGTCTTCTTTTAGTTACCTCATAAAGGAGGCTGGCAGCAACATCTGCATATCTCAGTTCTGGAATTGGATTTCAACCAATTACTAAGGCAGAGGGTCAAATGGTTTGATCATCTTGTTAGAATACAGCCACAATGGCACAACCCCTAAACAGATCCGAAGTGAAAGTAAGAGGGCACTTAAACAGAAGTTGGACTTATGACATTAAAGATATTCTACATCCATACGAAATGTACGGAATACTCTGTGCTGCCCATCACCCATCAAGCAATGGACAACAGTTCATGATGATTAAGTCAAAAGTGGAAGCTGATAATGAACGAATGCATAAAAACTGACACAGGTGATGACACTTCAAGATACACTTTCCTTCACAGACGTCGGACAGACATGAGGAGAAAATGTCACAAAGGACAAAGCCAGTAGTAAACTGGGCATGTGTTTGTTGTTGTCTTCCCCTTTATCTATCATGTTAGCACCAAAATAAGATGTATTCCTAAAATAAGCCATAGACAGATTTTTCGAGAAGCTCATAATACAACCCCAATTGTGAATACCAGCCCTAGTTTTGATCATCAGCCAGGTCAGACTTTATTTGTCCGCTGAAACACATGATGAACAGATTCAATCATAAGGCAACAATATGGTTGACATAATAGTTTAACCTGGTTGCTCCAAGAAGCTACAAAACCCAAGCTTCCAGCTGGGAAACATTTTGCTCTGTAGTGACCTGTTTATGAGATATAGTTAACGCTACCGGCTGTGTTCTGTTTATGAGATATAGTTAACGCTACCGGCTGTGTTCTGTTTATGAGATATAGTTAACGCTACCGGCTGTGTTCTGTTTATGAGATATAGTTAACGCTACCGGCTGTGTTCAGGTCTGCGCAAATGTTTAGGACAACAGGATGTGAACATATTAATTATAACAAGCAAAAGTGTGGGGGGAAAAAGGGGGGGGGGGAGATGTCCTTCAAACCGAATGGTTTTTAAAGCCCAGATGATAAGCCTAAGTGACAGAGGTCATGGGGTCACTGTATGAGTAACCTGATATATTTTCTAGGCCCTTGTTAATGTTTACCAAGTTAATGCTTCACTCTGTTTATTGATTACTCCTTACATATTTCAAACATAATAATAAAAAAAAAAAGTACACAAACAAATTTTTTTAAATTGTATTAGTGACCTGTGCAAAATTGTTGTTTTTAAAGGATTTCTGTCAGGAATTTCCACTGGATCATAACCTATTTTTGTAAGGTTACTGGGGTGAAAAGTTTAAAAAAATGATGAAATAAATTATAATTAAACTTCATAACATGGAAAGCAATACTTCAGCTGTATGAGAGGAAACATATGAAAGAAAAAACATACATGCATACGTGCACACACATGCAAGCACACATGTACACAACACCTACATACACACATGCACCCAGAGATATCATGACTACAGCAGATTACATACCATGCCAAGGAAGACCATCTCTTCATCTCTCTCCTTCCTGGTCTTTTTCCGCTGAGCAAATCCTTTCCATATCTACATCCAGTGATACCAAAATTTCAAATCAAGATGAACAGCAGCAAAAATAATAACACTCATCAAACAAATCATCATTGAATGCCTCCCGTTGTGAAGATAAGGACAAGTATATACTAGTATGTTTTGTTACAGAACTATGATGGTGAGCACCAACGGCCACTAACTGAGAAGTTGTTTGGGACTGGTTCTTTTGTATGGCTGCAACATGCTGGAGAATATTTAATACAAATGTTCACTAGAGCCACAGAGTTTGTGCTTTGTGTGATGCTTTTGGCAGGTGGCCAGTTGTTCAGGAAATGAGACCGGGCTGCTCAGCATCAAACCTGATGGACTGGTGTTGGTCCTCTCAGATCTGATACAAAGATGTTGATCCTCCCAGCTTAGTCTTAGTCGAGGTTTCAACTTCACTACAATCAGGTTTCCCCATACTTGTTCCGTTTCTGTGCCATTAAAAATCGAATGAAATGTTTCTGATTGAAAAACTGGTGAACAATTAGTCCCAGAACAATCCAGAAAGATGTACATGCAGTAAACACATTTTTTAGTTACTAGAAGTGCCAAAGCCTACAGTCGCCACCAGAAATGCAGTTTGTCATTGATGGAAGTAGCCAGGCACAAAAAGCTGGCTATTCACACATAGAGTTTTTACATAAGGTATTTAACCAGCTCACACATAAACCAGCTACCAGCCATATTGAATACCACGACACAACAGGTGCACAAATGTTTAAACGCATCCCACAGGAAAAACCCAGCTCACAGGGCTGCACCAAGCCCTAAACTGAGTAGCTCAGGCAGCAAAACAATAGGCTTCTCTCTATATGTGGAAACTGCATTAGCAAAACACTGTCGGAAGCAAAAAAAACTTTGAAGCTTAAGATTCTACCATGCCTAATCCTCCATTTTAGGCTGGCAACCTCTCAGCTGTCAACCTCTAGACCTCAGTATTGGAAGCAGTAATGCTCAAACTGGCAGGTCATGCCAGTTGGCAATAAAGATCTCCAACCAAAATTTTAATTCATAAGGCTTACTTTATTTCCACACACAGGACACACACACAAATTACCATTTAAAAGTAAAATGTAGAAAATATATATAAAATTTTTTTTCCTCACAAAATAAACAAATAATTGAACATATTAAAGAGATGAGTGAAAAGAAGTTGCTAACCTTTTGGATCTTCATGGCTGCCAATTCTGGGTCAATAGTTGGAGCTCCATGCATCAGGGCAAGCTTTTCTCGCTCTTCTTGCTGACGAATCTCTCTCATGAACTTTGCCCGGAGTCGACCTTGACGAGCACGCTCATGAATCTGAATAACCTTGACAGCCTGCTCCAAGGTCATGTAGTTATCAAGTTTCTCCTGCAGGATGACAGGTCACAGGTAAATATATCACTGCCTGCTAGATGACATGTCACAGCTACTAAGATAAACATGTCAAAGCCTGCAAGATGACAGGTCACAGGTAACTAAATATATCACTGCCTGCAAGATGAAATGTCCCAGGTACTGAGGTAAATATATCACTGCCTGCAAGATGACAAATCACAGGTAACTCAGGTAAATATATCACTGCCTGCAAGATGACATGTCACAGTTACTGATATAAACATTTCAGAGCCTGCAAGATGACATGTCAAAAATACTGAGATAAATATATCACCGCTTGCAAGATGACAGGTCACAGGTAGTGAGGTAAATATATCACTGCCTGCAAGATGACAGGTCACAGGTAGTGAGGTAAAAATATCACTGCCTGCAAGATGACAGGTCACAAATACTCAGATAAACATATCACTGCATGCAGGATAACAGGTTACAGGTAACTGAGGTAAATATATCATGTCTGCAGGATGACAGGTCACAGGTAACTGAGGTAAATATATCACTGCCTGCAAGATGACAGGTCACAGGTAACTGAGGTAAATATATAACTGCCTGCAGGATGACAGGTCACAGGTAACTGAGGTAAATATATCACTGCCTGCAGCATGGTACAGGTAAATATATAACTGCCTGCAGGATGACAGGTCACATGTAACTGAGGTAAATATATTACTGCCTGCAGGATGACAGGTCACAGGTACTGAGGTAAACATATCACTGCCTGCAGGATGACAGGTCACAGGTACTGAGGAAAACATATCACTGCCTGAGGTAAACAGGTACTGAGGTAAACATATCACTGCCTGCAGGATGACAGGTCACAGGTACTGAGGTAAACATATCACTGCCTGCAGGATGACAGGTCACAGGTACTGAGGTAAACATATTACTGCCTGCAGGATGACAGGTCACAGGTACTGAGGTAAACATATCACTGCCTGCAGGATGACAGGTCACAGGTAACTGAGGTAAATATATTACTGCCTGCAGGATGACAGGTCACAAGTACTGAGGTAAAAACTGTTGCTGCTTGCATATAATATTAACATGGACAGGAGATGATGTATTTCCTAGCTAACTCTGTTTCTGTGAGGTCATTTTAACCCCCCAAAAAGTCAACTAAAAGACACGTTCCATGCTTTGTTGTATGCTAGATGTAAGGTGCTATTGCCATAGGTTTAAAGAGGATCTGGCACCTGGTATATAATGAGTTTAATATCACATCGGCCGCCTTTACTTCCCAGTATCATTTTCTGGTACCCAGTTTTAGGCTGGGTCAACCTGGGAGGACTGGGTCAGTTTTGAACAAATGACCACCAGATCAGTAGGCTGGTCATTGTGCACTCTAGCTCCTCTGTTGCTGACCAATGAGAGGTTAAAGGTTAAGACCACACACATGTGGTGAGCAGTTCTTTTACTCACTCTCTGCCCAGTCAGAACAATCAAAGATGGATACTCGATAAATCAGTAAGTCAATGTGTTGTTCAATATGTGGTCAGACTCTACATCTAGGTCAGACAGACACTACAGCCAACCCTTGCTATTTTCTAGTTCCAACAATACCATTGCAGCAAAGTGTCATCAGTAAGTCATTAGTCGAGATTCCAACATCTCTATGAGCTGGTCTCCCATAACTGTTCCGTTCATGTGCCACTGGAAATCACAAAAAATTTCCTTTACTGTACGATTTGAAAACTAGTGAAAAACTTGGGAGTCCCAGCAATATCTTTAAACTTGCACACACAAAATAATAATGCATAAGGCAGCTTTTGAATATGCCGACACTAATTGTCCCACACCAGAAGTTGAGTTGAGTCAAGAATTGACATCACAGCACTTGGGGCATTCCCATTAGTGCTTCATCCTCATCTTCAGCAGCCAGCACAGAGTTCCAATACTGATGGTACCAGTCAAAATCTGGTTATGTATCCATCTCATCTTTCCTCTGTGTGTAGTGAGTCAGCCAGACCCTCTAGTCACACCCAGGTGCATCATTCTCTCTAGGCCATAATAATCTTGTTTTTCTACTGATTCAGTTGCTTGTTCCCAAAGGGCCTTGACCACATCTGCCTTGTCATGTATCGATTCACCACCCAGTGGTGCAGATCCAGCCAATCTGTCTGCCTGTTCATTATCCACCATGCCGGTATGAGATGGAGAAAAGATCCAAAGTATGCTCACCACCCTTAACCTTCCCAGTGAAGCTCGAAGCACCCCTGTCTTCACCTTTCTCAGCATGCTTTCAGAGTTTGTTACAATTACAACATATGTATGTATCTTGTTCTGTAACCACCAGAGAGCTGCAGGTATTTAACTGGTGGCCCATGGGCCAAATCTGCAACAAAGAGGTCAGGCGATCGGCCCATGGATCACCCACCAATTGTCGTGTATTAATGATCTTTCTGTGCTGGGAATCAGGTCTCTAGCGAACGACGACTCCCATTTTCTAACATTTTGACACCCTGGTAAACTCAGCTAAATGGCTCTGGTGTCGTCATTACACTGTACATAGTTGTTATCTGTTTGTTAACAATAATCAGCACAGGAGCTTAAGCATGAAATAATAAACACGCAAGTGTCTGTTTAGCTGTCTGTTATCCCCCGTTATCCATAATAACTTACTCTTCCCTGGCCCTGGGGTGCCATTTTGGCCAGGATTTGACCCAGGAGTTTTTCCCTCTCTTTTAAATGTTTAGCCCTCTCATTCACGAAGTACTTGGGAATTGGAATCTCAACATCGTTCTGAGGATACAGTCAAGATGATAATTAGAAGTACTTGAAATACAAGAAATATCTGATAAATAGTTTGAAAAAAAAAAGCTATTGCCAATACATGTGAGGCACTGCCTAGGATACCCGTAAGGCACTGCCTGGGATACCCATGAGGCACTGCCTGGAATACATGGTGCAATGTAAAACACCAGAGGAAAACTGCCAGCTTTACTTAAATAGAAGATACTTGCAGGGAGAGACAGTGACCAAGAAAGAGATAGGGTGAAAGAGAAAGAGACAGACAGACAAGTAGATAGATGGACAGATGAGATTTATAAAATTTAAATGATAGCATGTGTACTATGATTTGAACTGGAAAGACTTACCCAGGCAAAAATATGTCTGCAGAAGTCGGATGTGACGACTGAAGGCACAAATATCGTAGACATGTTGACAATAGGCATTAAATATTTAAGTCTTAGGATGAATGCCGAATAAGAATATTTATGGTTTGAATCAATAAAAATACCACCATCATTTTGTATCAATTGATTATCATGACTAATGGGAAACTAATTGTATAACGTCAGTTTTGTATTTCATGCCTTGTTTACAAAGATCATTTGTACAAAGTACAAACAGAACAAAGAATATTGAGCATCAGATTGAGAAGGAAGAACAGATTATCAAACCAAAAGGGAAGAATAAAGAGTGTCCAATTCAAGAAGATGTATACAGAGTGTGAAACTGAGGAGAAAGTATATAGTGTAAAACTCAGAACTACCAATGTGACATGTTTTTCAATTCTTGTATTTATTCATAGTTTCACATCACAAGGTTGATGTACGACAGATGGTGCTGTCTTGGAGAACATGCTCCCAGGTTTGGTAAAAACTGTGGATTACTGCTATTATTTACCACTTTTGCAGTGTAGACAGAGGAGTCTTTGAATCCAAAGATTTAGGGCTGCATGGCTGATGCTCTTGTCACGGACTGGGTAGGTTAAGATTTTATCTTGTGAGTTTAGTATGCTGGACAATGCCTTGTCTTTCTTTCTGAACCTTCAAATTGCATCATCCCTCCAACAGGTGAAATCACTGTTTATAAATCAGTGTTTATAAATCACTGTTTATAAATCAGTGTTGTGTTAACCCTGTTGCCTTGGTAAAGCTACAAACAAAATGGGCCATGATACTGCGGGAATTCTGTGAAGAAAATCTTTAAAAACACAACTATTTTATATAGAAAAAGTAATTTATTTGTTTAAATTCATTTAAACTACATTTTTCATCAATGTTTTTCCAAAATATATAAAGACATATAAAAGTGTTATCAATAAACATGATCAGAGGTGAGCAAATGGAATATATTCCCTGAGCATGCAATATCTATTGGCTGATTAATGCCCTGACCTTGTGACCTCTATTACTGAAGTTTACAGGAAAATTTGACACCCTCTTGACTTTAAAAAGTTGTTTGGTTTGCAAATCAAGTTAAATTATATTTTTAGCTAATATATTCCTATCACGACCTCACAAATATTTAGCAAGGTGCAAACTCGGCCAATGGCATTAGCTTTGTGTCTTGTCAACAGATCACTGTAAACAAGTCAGAAAGGGGACATTTTTAGGAAATAGACCCAACCAGAAAAGTCAGTTTTGTGGCTTCTAGGGGTGACAGAGTTAAATAAAACCTTAATGTTGACAAATGTTGATGCCTCTGTCTAACCCCCATATTTGTTTATGCCAAACAACATCATACAATCTTAGGGAAGCTGGCGTGATGTTGCAGCTAGATGATCGCCTGTGAATCTTAATGTTGTGTGTTCAAATCTGCAAGGAGTTGGATTTTTTCTCACATTACCTTACTTCCAAGGTCAACCAATAGGTACCTTTCGGAGCACTTATGGGTTACTACCCGTGTGATATGATGTTGATTCATTGTTCAAACCTCACAACTCAAACCAATAGGTACCAGGTAAAGTCTTGGGAAGTAAAGGCAGCTGGCATGATGTTGACCACATCATCCATCAAGGGCCAGTTGGTCTATACAAATTCAAGTATAGTCTCACACATCTGATGGGTCACTCACGGGTAAAAAGATTTTCACAAAATCATAGAAACAACAAATACAAGAACTAACGGGTGTCAGCTTTAGATCCGATAAAACATCATCGAAATAATGATACTCTGAGAACTCCAAGTTGATCATCTCATGCTTCAGCTCTAGGATTCTGCCCATGACACCATCCAGGCAGTGACGCAGCACCCGCCGTTTCTGGGGGTGGACTATCTGGTCGTAGGCCTGCTCCAGCTTCCTGAAGATTTGGATGTACTTGACATACATGGTTGCCAGGAGCTGAAATGCTGCTAGCCGATCCTGAAGTTGTGAGAATGAAAGCAGTTCGACCGTTATTTGCTGTGATACCTCATTTAATTTACATTGTACAGGTTGGCAATAGGGTGTCAAAGGATAGCTGTCACAGTTGCAACTGTCAAGAATAAAATCTACAATAATGATAATAAAGAATAAACAAATTTGAGAAAGGATATCAGAAGTAAACATCTATACAGAGATAAACAACTAAGACCTATATATAATGTTAAAAAAAAAAAGAAGAAGAAATGCATAGTTATCTGATGCCGCATTTTTATTAGTTTGTAAATAAAATATGGTACTCTGGTATGTGAAAAGTAGACTTAAATGTTGTTTACCATGTCCAGTGGCCATGCAGGTGTGAATTGCATGGGTTTTGAAATCGTTACAACGCAGTGGTCAATTGTGTTTTAGACCATATTTTTTAGCCTAACTCATGATGCGCGCAATAGAAAGCAACACAATTTGGGGTAAACACTATTCACTGCCTGTGCAACTGCAACCCTACAAAAGGATAATCATGTGTGCAATCCTAAGATTCACACTAGGGCAGACCGTTAATGAACATGAGATATGACGAGAGACATGACGTCACTTGCCGACAGAAGAATCAGACAGAAGACAGTTACAAGGAATGTATGAATGGCAGAAGCTTGTTTTGATATGTTCCTGATGCCGCCAGTCACGGCAGAGCAAAGGCTCTGAGCTCTATATTGGAGGAAAGGAGTTATCCTGCCATCATTAGGTTCAGTGATCATCACATATTCATTTCATGGACACACATTATATATTTGTGGAGAATTGTTAAAGGTACTGATGTTGCCTGTCAACTAAGGTCCTCGAATGTAGAAGTTTTAACAGCTGACCTTGTTGGTGGCATTTTCCAATACTGTGCAGTGAAAACTGTTTAAGTACCATCCTAGGTCAATGCCCTACCAAGTAACTTGTTACTCTAGGGCAGGGCTATTCAACTAAGTTGGCTCAGGGGCCAAAATGTTCAAAAACGGGGATTGTCAAGGGCCAGAGGCTCTCAGCATAGAAAGATCTAAAATACAATACAGCTAGAAGTGATCAGCGGGCCACTTGCTGGACCTTGGCTTGCTAGATTTGGCCTGCGCCGCCAGTTGAATAGCCCTGCTCTAGGGGGTAACAAGTGCCAACCGCAACGACAGGCCGAAAATGTCACCAAATTCTGAGGTATTCTTGTGTGAAATTTGAATATTTTTGCTTGCTACATTACAAAGATGCAGAATGTCAAGACTCTGAGTATGTCTGTTTCTTTCAGTAGCTATAAGTTTTTATAATTTTTATTTTTATTTTGACAATGTATGAGCACTAGAACTAGCAAACATTCTCAGGAATTAATTTAAACCCACAAAAATAAAAAAATTACCCACAAGAACTAACAGATACCTAATGAACTAAAAGACATCTACATGAACCAACAGACATCTACATGAACCAACAGACACCTACATGAACTAACAGACATCTAAATGAACTAACAGACATTTAAATGAACTAACAGATATCTAAATGAACTAACAGACATCTACATGAACTAACAGACATCTACATGAACTAACATACATCTATAGTAATTAACATACATCTAGAGCAATGAATATACATTAACAGAAAATAACACATGCACTGTACACAAATGAACAAATTACCCTCTCTGGTTTTGGTGGCTGAGGTGGGTTTTCATACTGAAGCATGTCCACCAAGGCTGACTGTGCCTCTTGCCATTGCTTACCGTAGTAACTAAAGAAAAAAAATTGACCACCAAAAAAAAAAAAAAGATAATAATTCATGTCATAATTAGTCATGATATATGACTGAAAACACCTTGCAGAAATGAGAACAGAAACTGTCATATGAAGACCAGTGTTCTGCAAACTCACCAGTAAAAGCAGTCACTTGTAGAAAGGATCAACTATTTCATCATCATCATTCTGTAGCACTGCATGTTGTTGGGTCACCTGTTACTGTTGACCTTCTGGTCAGCTCCCTTCACCTCTGACAGTAAGATGTCATGGGTTTCATGGTTGCATGCCTAATGCTTGTCCAGTCAGTTATGTTCTGTATCCAGGTCTTTCTTGGTCTACCTCTTGTCCTCTTCCTCTCTACTGAGCCCTGTAGTATGCTATATTGTTGCACGCACAGAAAACATGATCAATAATCAGATCAGCAGCCACCATGATGTAGCAGACACTGTCCTAAAGGTCATGGGTTCCAATCAATAGTGGCACACACTTTTTTCTTTTTCAAACTGACCTTTGCTCCAGGTTGACCCAGCCTAAAATAGGTAGAGGTAAAGTCCTAAGAAGTACAGGGGGCAGTGTAATACTGACCACTTCAGAGATCGAGTGCAGGCTCACCTATGAGTTTGGCACCATATGCTCAAAAAGCTGTTGCCATAAAAATGGTGCTTGAAAAAACAGTCAGGCACATCTAGCGGCAGGGAAATATTGTGTTTCTGAGGGACATGACAATAATGCCATAAAAACGGTTCTTGAAAAAAACAGTCAGGCTAAGATACATCTTGTGGCTGGGGGAAATTGTGTTTCTGAGGGACATGACACTAATGCCATGCAAGGGCAGACAAATGAGACAGTCTTTAAGAAAGAGATGACAAGCATCCAGTGATTTCAGAAAATAGAGATCGGCACCTGATATTTCATCAGCTGAAAATTAACTCAAAACATTTAGTCACCAATAAAAAAAAAAAGAGTTCAATTCAAAGTCGATGAGGGGATTGACTTAACTGCATAGGTTTTTCTGTCTTTGTGTCTCTCCACAGAATAACTGGCAGTCTGCCTAGGGCATCACACAAAACATGAACCCCATAGCTTCAGTGACCATCATCAGGGTCTGTGTAAAATCTGAACTCTTGAACATAACCACAGAGCTGTGAACTAAACCATGACTTCAGAGCATGAGGCAAATGGCAAAATCACTTTGTCATGAAAACTACCCTTGACAAATAGGGCATGATGGGAGAAAATACTGAACAGAAAAACAAAGAGATGAACACCAGGATGAACTGGCAACATGGCATAAGCAGGGCAAAAACACAGACATGATCTGATGATTGTGACAGATGGCAAAATTATGACTACCTACATTAAATGGCACATGATGATTGTAGACTACAACTGATCTTATAGTTTCTATTTCTGCCACTCTACCAAAGTAGTAGTGATGGTGGTGGTGGTTATTCCCCTTTAGGATTGCTGTCAGTAGGATCAACACTTCTTGCATGAGAACCAAACACCTCTAGGATTGCTGTCAGTAGGATCAACACTTCTTGCATGAGAACCATACACCTCTAGGATTGCTGTCAGTAGGATCAACAACTTCTTGCATGAGAACCAAACACCTCTAGGATTGCTGTCAGTAGGATCAACACTTCTTGCATGAGAACCATACACCTCTAGGATTGCTGTCAGTAGGATCAACACTTCTTGCATGAGAACCAAACACCTCTAGGATTGCTGTCAGTAGGATCAATACTTCTTGCATGAGAACCATACACCTCTAGGATTGCTGTCAGTAGGATCAACACTTCTTGCATGAGAACCAAACACCTCTAGGATTGCTGTCAGTAGGATCAATACTTCTTGCATGAGAACCATACACCTCTAGGATTGCTGTCAGAAGGATCAACACTTCTTGCATGAGAACCATACACCTCTAGGATTGCTGTCAGTAGGATCAATACTTCTTGCATGAGAACCAAACACCTCTAGGATTGCTGTCAGAAGGATCAACACTTCTTGCATGAGAACCAAACACCTTTAGGGTTGCTGTCAGTAGGATCAACACCTTCTTAGTGAAAACCAAACACCTTTAGGATTGCTGTATGTGGGATAAACACCTCTTCCCAAGGCAAAGGAAAAAATCCCAAGGCAAAGAAAACAAATCCCAAGGCAAAGGAACAAATCCCAAGGCAAAGAAACAAATCCCAAGGCAAAGAAACAAATCCCAAGGCAAAAGAACAAATCCCAAGGCAAAGGCACAGATCACAAAGCAAATGCACAGATCCCAAGGCAAAGGCACAGATCCCAAGGCAAAGGCAAAGATCCCAAGGCAAAGGCACAGATCTCAAGGCAAAGGCACAGATCCCAAGGTGAGAATCAAACGCCCTAAGGACTGCTGTTAGTAGGATCAACACCTCTTCAATGAGAATCAAACGCCCTAAGGATTGCTGTTAGTAGGATCAACACCTCTTCAATGAGAATCAAACGCCCTAAGGACTGCTGTTAGTAGGATCAACACCTCTTCGATGAGAATCAAATGCCCCAAGGACTGCTGTTTGCAGGATCAACACCGCTTCGATGAGGATCAAATACTCCAAGGACTGCTGTTAGAAGGATCAACACCTCTTGGATGAGAATCAAATACCCCAAGGACTGCTGTTAGTAGGATCAACACCTCTTCAATGAGGATCAAACGCCCTAAGGACTGCTGTTAGAAGGATCACCTCTTGGATGAGAATCAAATGCCCCAAGGACTGCTGTTTGTAGGATCAACACCTCTTCGATGAGGATCAAATACTCCAAGGACTGCTATCAGAAGGATCAACACCTCTTCGATGAGAATCAAATGATCCAAGGACTGCTGGCACTAGGATCAACATCTCTTGCATTAAAATCAGACCGGAGCACATACCAGAAACCCATATCAATCATATCATTATACCACTGCTATATTTAGGGCATCCGTGCGGCTACAAAGTAACATGCTGTCAAATGACGGTCAGGGATAAGTAGTTTAGTCGTCATTCTACTACAAGTAGGCTGAGCAAAAGCACTAAAAAAAATGCCATTCTTGTTCTTTTGACATACACATACAAAACTTATGAATCAGTCTGACAATAAAGAAAAAGAAAAGGTCCCTTTTCCACACCTTTAGCATACTGGCATATAGGGCTAGACCTATTTTTAACCACATATCAAAAATAAAGAAATAGAAATGTCACAGATTTTGAATACTTCACTTTTTAAGTGAAAAACTGTGGAGACCGCTCGAAAGAAGACAAAGACTTGAGTTAGCAATGCAGAGATTAAACAGCATGAAGACCCTATGGCAAAGCACTAGTAAAAATATTGAGATTATGCATTTTTCCCGTGGAAACTTACGGTTGCGAGTCCTGGAATCTCACTCATTCACTAAAGAAAAAGAGTGGAGCTTTTGAATTAAAATGTTGGCTCTACTGGCAAATTTAGCCGGTAAGCTGGACTGCTTCGGCCGGCTTAGCGGGGCTTCGTGGGAGTTATGTCCCTTGGCCAAACTCAAAACAACTCAAAACAAGTCGCGGAAAAAGATACGAATCAAACGGCATACTTACCTATCATCATCCGGGTGCGTGTAGGGTTGCGTAGGGTGTCTATCATCGTCCTACGGTTGCGTGTAGGGCTGCTTATTGCGTGTAGGGCTGCTTATTGCGTGTAGGGTTGGTTGTTTGAGTAAGACAGATGAGGAGTAGGGTTAGGGGTTAGGGTTAGCGTTTAGGGGTTAGGGTTGGGGTTTAGGTTTAGGGTTAGGGTTTTGGGTTAGGGTTTAGGGTTAGGGTTTAGGGTTAGGGTGTAGGGTGTAGGGTTTAGGGTTCGGGGTTAGGGTTTAGGGTTAGGTGTAGCGTTAGATGTGACAATTGTGATGCCGTAGTTCCCTACAATCGCGCACAGTCGCATGCACATGCAAACAGTCAACGGACGGTGGATGCTACTGACACAGATTGGGGCACCAGCCGCCGCACTCTATTGCCGTCATATTTGGCACACTTTCAGTGGCGCCACTCCCACAAGCATCAGATTGTCGGCCAGTATTTCCACCTCCTACGTGAATATTTTCACATCATCTAACCCTAACCCTAACCCTACCCCCTAACCCTCCCCCAACCCTACCCCAACCCTACCCCTAACCCTACCCCTAACCCACACCCCTAACCCTACGGCTAACCCAAACCCTACGCAACCCTACACGCAACCGTATGATGATGATGATAGACACCCTACGCATCCCTACAAGCAACCGTATGATGATGATAGACACCCTACGCAGCCCTACGCGCAACCGTATGATGATAGGTAACCCGAGACGCAACCCTACACGCACCTGGATGATGATAGGTCATTTGATTCGTGACTTTTTCCACGACTTGTTTTGAGTTTGGCCAAGGGACGTCAAGGGACATAACTCCCACTAAGCCCCGCTAAGCCGGCCGAAGCAGTCCAGCTTACAGGCCAAATTTGCCAGTAGAGCCAAAATGTTTTAGAAAAATTCTTAGAATACCATGGCTCAAGAAGAAGGAAAACATCAACATTCTAAACGAGTTGAACATCAAAGAGAACTGGCTCACAAACAGCACCTGTCCCGAAAGTTGAAGTATTTTGTCCACATCAAAAGTCACGGTGTTGGAGGGTGCGGTTTGTGGAAGGCGAGGCAGGGGTCACCACCGCGAAGATGGGTTCAGGACATTGAAAATTCATTGGAATTAAAAGCACATGGGGCCAATTAGCTGGCTAGGGAAATAGATACTTTCAGGCGTGTCGTTAGGAGAGCGACGTTCTGTAAAGGACTTGCTGAGAGGTGAGTTGGCACTTGGTGGATGAAATGTGGTTCGTATCACGCCGGCCGGCCGAGGCTATAAATATAATAATTAAAATTAAACTATATTGAAAATTACTGATTTGCCTATCTTATACAAGTGAATGACTGGAATTCAATAACTGATATTTAACAAACCTGTGAGACATCTTAGTGTAACTTCAGCACAAACAACGAAAGTGTAGAAGAAATAAAAGCGTCGTTACATCAAATTCCTTTTATAAAAACAAGAGGCGCCGCCATGATGGCGCGTCGCCCTGGAGACGTCAACAACAGCAGACGCGGCCAGTTACAAAAGTTTGACGATGAATTCAAGAGAAATTTGACTTAAAAGCTCAACAAAATGGGAAAGAGGAAAACGTGCACAAAACAACACAACGTAACGTTTCGGCCGGGCAGCCTTTTTCAAACACAAGTGAAATACACAAACGAGGAATGAAAAGTTTGACGGTATTTTATTTAGGGGCGGGTAAATTAGGCACATTACATAAATCAGACGAACCCTGATTTTCATCATCATTTTGCAGGCCCGCAACAGAATGTTGCCCCCACCCACAGTCATCTCTAAATTAGGATGTGTTCCTGTAACGGTCCGCGTGAAAAACTATTTCTGTCTTTTGCTAATTTCCCGTCTCATATTTTTCATATATTTCAAAATTCATGTTGTCACTAATATTTTCAGCTCACCTTCGTACTTTTGGACCAAAAACTTATTCTCAGTCTCAAATATTTCCACACCCAAGACGCCTCTAATGTCTACAGCTCACTTTCCTACACGTCAACACCTTAATTGTCTCCTTCTGATTTGTAATGGGCTGACGTGATTTAAGAACCGGCAAACTGCAAGCTACCAAAAAAATGAACATTTCACTAAGGGTACAAGAGGTTTGATTAATTAAAGACAGATCAAGCATTATCTCTTGTTTTAGGCTTGTGGAGTTTGTGGGGATAATACTACACTAAGGATCTGTTCGGGACAGATCTGTTTGGGGTGGATCTGTTCAGAAGCTGTTTGGGACGAATCGGTTCTGTGTGGATCTGTTCGGGATGCTCTGAAAGCCCCAGTCCTCACGGCACGGAGGCTTTCTATAAATGCTCCCTACCTTTAGCAACCAGCGCACAGTTCCAGTTGCAAGGCCCGAGTAACATTAATATATGCCTCTCCAGTCTTTCTTCTGAGTGTTGAGTGTCAGCTAGACCCCTGGTCGCTCACCGCTGCAACCATGATGATTTAAGTGACAAGATCTCACAGACACATGTCAGTTTTACGAAATGTGGCCACCTGTCTGCACTGACCAATCACTAACGAGCCAGACCAATCTCATGTCCTTCTTATTCTCTGTGTTCTCCCGGTCAGTGGTGTTCAGGTGAAAAGGTCACAGACCTCTATGACGTCTATGGTGAGACGTATGTTTTCCTGTATTCCACACAGTTCACTTTCCAATGGGATGCCAGCCCGACAAACATGGGATCTCTTTACTGCATGCAGAGAGTATGTCTGTAGCATATGTTCAGTGTTCTGTGGTGCTTATCCACATGGGTAAAGTTCTGAATCCCCAATCTTGAATTTCTTGTTCATATGGCTGCAGAGTTTGTTGTGTCCAGTTAAGTTAGTGGCGTATCCTTTACAGGACGTTGCAGGAAAAAAAAAACCTATTATTTTTGGCGGTTGTGATTTTTCAACGAAGATTTTACGTTCAGTAGTTTGCTATTGCCTACTAACAGGTAAATTCTTGTTACCACTATTGAAACCAACGCAAGACAAACAGCCCACATCTTGGATCGAACTTGGCACTCCGGAATTACGAAGCGCGTTCGCAACGCCTGAGTTTCATACGTCGACGTGTCGGCATTACGTGTCCAGTACGTACCCTAAATATACTGGTCTGCTTCTTTCGGGTGACAAGCTTGATTTGCTCTTCATGACTGTGTCCTAGTTGGAAAGTGTTCCAGTGTATTCTCATGGTTGCCTTTATCTTGAGTTGTATTTTCCTTATAAGTGCATCCTGTATCTACTGTGTCTAGCAGGTCTGTATGAATTCCAATCACCACGATTTAGGAGGAACCTGTGAAGCGCCTCGGCCGCGTCTACGATACGAAGTTATCTGATAGAGCGGAAGTCCGGCGTATACATGAGTCACTGGCTAGAGACATGCTTGCGATAGAGCGATGCAGGCTAATCGGAAAGTTCAAGGTCTGGTCTGACTGACTGACTTTCTACCCCACCAGGACATCACACAAGCGATAAACACCCGATGACACAAAGTGCCACCATTCGGATGAGGATCGCCGTGGAGAGGTCCCAGAAACCGCGTTCAGACATTTGGCCATACATATGTATGGCCTGCCAATATTGCGGCCCCTGGAAAAAGCCAGATTAGGGCCTCAAATGACAAAAAATTTCGTCCTGAAAAGGACGAAATTGGATATAGCCTCATAACAAGGTCTGGTGTCTCCAGTTGATTCCAAAGTTTCTCTGGCCGCTGTTCGTGTACGAAATTAGCATGGCGGCAGTGGAAACGATGGAGCGGAAAATCAACACAGCCACGAGGAATTGGCTTGGGGCACCGCCTTGTCTGACCGCCTTGGCTCTGTATTGTAAACAGGCTAAGATGGTACTTCCATTCAAGTCAAAAATCGAAGAATTTAAAGTTGGCAATGTAAGACTCGTTATGATGCTGCGCGAGTCTTTAGACACCGCGGAGGCAGCTGTCCAGCCCTCTCTAAAGACAGGTTAAAAAAAAAGGAAAGTCCTTGATGCGATAGAATAACCATTTCTGTTGTCATCTGGTAAAGTGTGGGTCATATTGTTCTCAGCTGACCTGTCAGTTCCAAATTCCCACCGTTTATCTATCAAGATTCCCATTTTCTCAAAGCACCACTTAAGCCAATTGTTGATCATTCTTTCCATTACTTTGGAGATGCAGTTGATCAAACTTACGGTCGATAGGTCTCTGCCGTGTTATTTTATCTGCCTGGTTTGAGGATCTGAATGTGGGTTGACTTCCTCCATATCCACTGTTCTGGTGTGACACCGGAAGCTGCCTTAGCCTTGCGGTTACATGCTCGCTTGTCACCTCTGTGGTCTTTGGTTCCAGTCTGCACTGAGAATGATTTTTTTTTTTTTTAATTGTCTCGGGTGTCCAGGTCAGCTAGCTTAAAATGAGTACCAGGAAAATGTCCCGGCAGCAAACGTGATTTCCCTACTTATGATTATTTTCCATTTATTATTTTTTCCACTCCTAGGCGATATCGTTAATTCCTTGTGGCGTGCAAACATATATGGCAACAAAGCAGAACGTGAACACATGCGAATCGACACTTTGTATTTTGTTATGTAACTTGTATTATCATGGATTATAAATGTTAGTACACACATTACAAGAATATAGTAAGGCGCCTCAAATAATATGCAGGACAATGTCAGCATCATTGTACGTGGCTCTAGATGTTGGTACATTAAATAATATAAGTGTTGATCTCTGTCAATAGACAAATGATAGTCGACACATCTAGAGCAGTTCAAGCAATACTTGAAACACGGAAATAATTAATCATACACAGTGGAGTAATATTGCAAGAATCATGTTGCACTGATTATAATGTAAAAAGTAATCGACTTTTTAATATCCAGCAATGTTTTGTGTTTGACTAAGATTTTCATTTAAACTGATATAATGTTCCCTGGATATCTCTGCAAATCAGTATTAACGAATTTCGCGTTATTCTGGTTTTTAAATGCCATCACAAAACTGAATTTCCATTTGTTTTCACTCACTTGCACGTATCAGCCATCATGAGTATTCAGCCACACTGAATATATCATACCGAATTTATCATTTTTACGTTATAACTTTGAACGTATCATTTTTTTTTTTTTTTTTGGTGTTTTTTTTTTTTTGTTTTTTTTTTGTTAGAAATAAGTATATAATGTTTAAGTCACTTTTTGAATTAATATCTGTGCTTTAATCAGTAAACGTCAAACTAAACAAATCATTCCAGTGTTATATGTTTGCTCAACTCAGGTGGTCACATACTATTTTTCACATCCTGCCTCAACCTGGTTATGTCCTCTTGTAGATCAGCGTCATCATCATCATCTGTGCTGTCCGTGTCACTCTCGTTAGTCGCAGATCTGGCATGTGGCTGGCTTGTAGGCAAGGCAGCAATCAAAACTGGATTGTTGAATTCTATTTCGTCAGAACCGCGCAGAAGAGCTGCTGAGCTAAGTTTGCTTGGCTCCGCCTGGAGCATGGGAGATCTTATTGGTGGTGTTGAATAATAGCTGGCGTTGTTTGAAGGGGTATCATAGGGGGACGCGGAGACTGAAATACAGAGAAACCTGGTATTATGTGTGTGTGTGTTTGTGTGTGTGTGTGTGTTTACAGGTAAACACAAAGAAAACAATGAGGAGAAAGGAAACCCCAGCGCCCGCACCCCAGCCACCTCAGATTATTATTATTATTATTATTATTATTATTATTATTATTATTATTATTATTATTATTATTATTATTATTATTATTAGTATTATTATTATTATTAAAATAATAACTTGAAATAGTATGAAATGTATAAATAAATAGTTTTAAAGAGAAATTTCTTGAAGTTTGAGCAACGGATCAACATCATGGCACACGGGTAGTAACCCATAAGTGACCCGTTCTTCTTCTAACCCAAGTCTGAGTCCGAAGAATTTCAGCACAGTGCACAGGCTCTGTAGCACCGGCGAGGATCCTGAAATACTTTGGGTAGATTTTTAACTCCACATTTTGTCCTGGCAGCGCCGTTAGGCTACTCTTTTCGATTTCCAACTACCAAGGGATTTTTTACTTGCCTAACATTGCAAACGGGCGCTCGATCTCACTACCCAGAGACCAGTGGGAATTACTAGAAGTTAAATCCACGTAAAAAAACGCAGACCTTACTGGGGATTGAACCTGGAACTTCTAGCACTCGAGGCGGACACCATGCCTCGAGACCACACAGCCCACCCAACACCCCCCCCCCCAACCCCCAGTTTAAAAGAGAATGTCTATAAACTGGTTAGGTTTCAGACTCTTGATTTACCTGTGGTGAGAAGAAAGGAATGAAGAATATAGAGAGCAGGGGGAAGCTGGGCACTAGAAGATGCAGAAGCAGACGTAGA